TGAGTTCATCTGGTAGAGAAGAAAGTCTCAACCAGGTAGGAACTTATTAGTCTGCCAGGCCTCCCAGGCCATGGATCTCGCATGAAAAGGTGATGCAGTACATCACCTATTACAATTTACTTACAAGAACTGAGACAGGGGAAACAAACCACTACCAAATCCCATACAAGACATGATGCCTCTTGTGTGTCACTTTTCAGTGCTTCCCACAGCAAAACACTTCCCAAGCACAATGACACAAAACTCATTGGAAGCTTGCTAGACAATCAGTCAGACAAGAAAAGTTTTGCTTTCCCATAGTTCTAAAAGAAATTGCATATTTATATATACTTATTCTATAATTGAAACAAAACCTTTAAAGCAGCTACAGGACAAAGAACCAGACTAAAGCTTGTTCCTCAAGGTCTGTTTCTATTTTCTTTTCATTCCTACTTTGTATTAGTTACAGGAAATTAGAAGCCAGACCACCTTCATTTCTGAAGCACGGGGTTAAATTAAGTACATTTACAAAGCCTAGTCTAGCCATAGTGAATAGCTGTGACAAGAGTGATCTTGATTCATAGATGTATCAATACACTAACAACACAGCACGTCTGTGGGTCAGTCTTTAAACCTTCCAACAACAGATCTCTGAGGCATAGCTCCAGGGAACCGGCTGCTTCTTCTTCAAGCACATTTCGTGAGCTAATGCTAACCCTGTAAATTGTCTGTGTGTCCCCCGCTGCCTGCAGTGTCCAGAAGCATGAAATTTTTTCCTTTGTAAAAGACGTATTTAAAGAAACGTATTCCAACAGGCTTATTTAAATCATAACCTCTTGCTTGTAAAGATAAACTTTACAATGAAGTCTGAATACACAAAAGCTGAAAAGAAACATTTATTTTTATCTGATAGAAGGAAAATACTGACTTTTTTAAAAAAGAAAAGCAAAATGTATAAATGGGATTTTGATATATTGCATCACTTTAAAATCTGAACTTACATGATTTCTATGGTCTGACAGAGAATACATTCCCAAGCCTTAATACTGTGTTGCAAAGCAAAGCTGTATAGAAACTCTCAGAATGAGTCCTCAAATTACTCAGATTTACGCTTGGCCAAATGCTCTTATACTATTTTATTTAAGCCAGCACTTAAATATTTCAACCCTGAGTCACTCTGCTGTGCCTGGAACAACGCATAGAGAAGGAGGGGCAGCCATGGCAGCAACTGCTTGTGGTCCCGAGTTGTCCCACTGCAGTGATCTCCTAAACCCCCAGAGATCTCAGCGCAAGAGCTAAGAGGCATCAGACAAGACTGAGAGCTGGTAAAATAATAAGTAATATTCACATTTGAAGGAGAGAAATTGAACCGTTCATTTTTGCTGAAGGTCAAGCTGGAAGTTTGTGCAGAGCTCAGGAAAAACTCAAACAGATCCAGATCCCTCAAGTCCTTGTCAGGAGAGCAGGAAGCTCAAGGCCTCACGCCACTGTTGAGTCTGGAAATGCAGCTGCCAGAATAAAGGCAACTTAGAAAGCATGACAGTTTGGAAGCAGCTGTTTTTTTCAAAGAAACACGTCCAAGTACTTAAATTTAGTACAATTTAACTTTTACAATTTATAAAGAAATGTATTTCTGCTAGCTGTGATTCCTAGGTAAATGTGTAGTTTGGAGTCATTGACAAGCACATACAGTGAAGGCATTTACAGTTAACAAAGTAATCCAGTCTCACTGCCTATATAATTTTACTTGCTTTATCTATGCTATTCTATTGCTATGGATTCATTATATCTTGACATTAATTGTCCACTTTTTTTGTTGCCAGTCCTAAGAACATAAATGAGTAGGAAACCCTCTGTCAGAACAAACCTTGCATATACATTCCGTATCAAAGTACCAGAGACAAATAATACACTTCAGCTGTTAGAAGCATTCTGGGACTGCTGTGAAAATTTCAGGCTTGAGGACAGTACTTCCTTGCCCAACTAAGGACTTCCAGATCTAGCCTCAAAGAACAGTTTTCTTACCGAAGAACAGCATAAGCAATAGAAAGCTATTCTAATTATTTTTTGAACCCAGCTAACTTGTTATTAGGATATCCACAGATGCCTCTGAGAAGTCTCATTACCCTGAGGTGATCATCAAATTATTTTTGACATTCAGATTTTCAGCTCCTTTCATGAGACCTCAGAGAAAAGAATTTTCAAAAATAGCAGTTGCAGTAAATTCATATACTGCACCCTGGCCATAGAACAATACCATCTTTTCTATATATGTTATCCATGCTAAGTGCTTGAGGTAATGTACAGGAGCTTGCTCAATGGCTGTATATTACCCTGAAAGCACTTGCAGAGTTCACTGATCAGGTAAAAGATCTAGGAGGTTTTCCTTCCTAAGTGATTAGTAAAAAACCCCAAAATTACAAACGCAGGCAGGTTTTGACTAGAATTTTCAAGAGAAGAGTAGTAACACATGCTTATATAGCACCATACTGCAAAGATCCCAATGGGCCCCATGAAACCCAGCTCTGAGGGGGCATAACAAGAAAGATAAATGAGAGATCCAGTGACACAACACATCTCTTCAGGGCAGGAAGCATTTGCACCCACTAGAACTTTGGGGAGAATTTTAATTTAGAAGAACCTAATAAGACAAACTAGAATTTGTCCAGCCACTAGGGATTAATACCATTAATCTTAATAAAATCCCATAGCACTTTCTGTAATGCAAATAAGTTCTTTGAAGTAGGTTTAAACCCAGAGATTTTGGCTAGAGACGTGGAAAGAGAGGGTGTAAAGAATTTAACAGAAGAGTTTATTACACAAAAGGTGTTGAATTTGTACAATATGATGCCTTTGGCATGCACAGTAATAAACAATTGCCATGTGCAAAAGATTGTGAAGGGAAGTAATTTACCAGCAACAACAACAAAAGTCATGGTAAATGAAGCCATCATGAAGATCAAACAGGAACCTTCTGCTTTGTATTTCCTGGATGCCGACAAGCAGATGTTGTAGCAACCTTTTATCTCTATCAGACTTCCAAACCACTAGAGCCATATCTATCCCAGGTTATTAGTGACTATAATTAGCAGTCTGGATTGGGTGTGACACAAGCCATCAAAATCTTAGGTAGAACTTTAAACTTGCATGTTTTCTTCCATGGTTTATGAATTAGTGCAGTGTTAGTATCACCCCTTGGCTGTGAAGCTGTTCAGCAAAGCAGCTGGCTCTGACACTTTCCATCTCAGCATGCCAGGTTTCTGGGACCCCGGTGTGGAGTGATCAAAAACCGCCTTTGGACTGTGTGAGATGGCTACCCCAGAGCAGCAGACCCCATCAGTCAGGGTGGCACCTGCAAGTTACATATCTGACTGTCAAAGTTGTTGGCTGGTTTTCCCACCTGTATCACTGACGATATTCAGGGAGCCCATGGTGGCATGAGGGATAATGCCTATTTCCACAGGATTTTGGTAAGATAATTGAAGAAACATTAAAGAAAGCATTGATAATCAGAGTGCCAAGACTTCTCTGAGATTTCTACTTTTAGTGAAACATTTTGAATGGTTTTAGGCAAGTGGATTTGCCTGGGCAATTGAGAGTAATTTGAACACCTGGAAAATGCAACGTTTAATTGAGCTGACTGTGCGTCATGGCCTCCTTTATGTTTTACCAGAACCCCAGGAGAGGCATGCTCATGTGTGGTCTCATTAGCTGATTAACTGCTTCTGCTCCGTGTTTTATTGCTCATCTCTTCCCATGGGAACCTCTTGGTGTTTGAAGAGCTCCAGAGAGAGTTCAGTGATTTTCAGAGAGAAGTGCATTCTTTGCCTTGGTAGCCCCTACTCTTTGTGATGAGTAGTATTGAAGGAAAAGATTTTCTTCACTATTCCACTTGTATGCTTATCCGTGGGCAGCTGTGAATCTCTGGATTAAATAATTCCATGCTATGGAGTTATTAAATGTTTGGGACAGACCAGCTGCATGCTTATAAGCAGATCCCTTAGAATAAGTATAATTGTATTTTACTTTTGTACTGGCAATGATCCCAACTAATATCTCTCTAATAACTGCCTGCTGCAAATTTCCTTACATTTTTGCCATTCAGAATTTAAGCCAGAGGACAAATAAACTGGTGGGAATTCAAAACTGACAGCCAGATATGCAGCTGATGCTTTTCCATGTTTTGAAATCTGTTAATTTTTAAGTTCTAGGAAAGGAGGCTTTGAATACAGAGTTGATCCCGATAATTTGTATGCAGCCAATTCAGATGTGTTGGCTGAAGAGCTCTCTTAAGGTCTTTGATGAAAGTAGGTAATAAAAGTTAAAACATGGGGAAAATTTTTGACAGCTGTAAGATACTTTTTTGAAATTATAAATGGTGAGCAAAGAAAATAGCTAGATGTCAATCCTAGCCCACATAATGGACTAGCAAAATCTTTCACTGAAGAATGACAGTATACTTACCAATATAATTGCAAGAAAATTGATTTCACTTACTGATGTCCCACTTTAACAGATTACTTCTGTGATTAATAAGGAAAACACTGCTAAGGAAACACATTTCATTTTCTGTGGAAGCATTAGTCACTCTGCATTACTATGGCTGAATAGTGCCATGTAATACAGACCACATTCAATCAGTATGGTCCATATTAATTGGACTGAAAAGTACACAGATGATGGATGTTGAAATATTGGTCACTGAAGAAGGATGTTTATTATGAGGCCTTCCACAAATTGGTTGAGTCACGCAGCATTTAACATGGGATTTAGCAATGATCTGAAATGCAGAATTCTGCCGGTAAAAGTTGCAGGTAATTGGATACCAATAAACGTGAGCATGGGTCAGTAACACATACCAAGCAGAGCTGACAGACAAAATGGTAATTCAATATATACCAGTTTTACTGGATTTCAATCAGAGTTTGAAGAGACTACAGGTCATTTGCAGTCTGGTGTTCAAACTGAAAGCTGGGCACTGAACGCAAACTTGTTCAATAAAGGAAAAGGAGCACAGCAAACAGGATACCACAGAATTATATTTATGTTGTACGTTTGTCTTCACATTGCAACATCCACATTGTTCAATTTGTGACAAGTATTTCTAATAATTTTGAATACATATTTACTGTATAATACATTTTACCAAGAGGCACTTCCAGTAATTCTGGCAAAAAGGAGCTTCATTATAGTGTCTAACTTACAAAACAGTAAAAATAAATAATGTTTATCTAAAAGATTTTTTTTTCCTGTACAGAATCTATTTTGTACAAAACATTTATCAGCCATTAACTAAATCACTTAACAAATACTTGTGAAGAGAATATATTAAGTATTGCTACATGTATTGAGTGCAAGATACTAGTGAAAGGAAAAGAATTATTCTGTTTATGAAAATCACCTAAAAATACAAGGCCTTGTTCCTGAAGTGTTTAGAAAGGAGAAGCTTGGTTACAACAATATCGACAATATATAAATATAAATTAACGTATGTAGTACTTAGTGAAAAGAACACTGTGTTAAAAACTGGTGTGTACAAATCCTAACAAGATGGCACTTTTCTGCATGGCCACTTTGGCTGGCAGTTATTTTTTAAAATATTGCTTCAAAAGAATTATAAAGGTACACGAAACCCTTTTCAAATACAGCCATATAAAATTACATCCCCCTGCTTTCTCTCACCATTTGAAGTGAAAAAAAAACAAGGAGGGATTAATTTTGAAGCACACAGGTGATTTGCAGAAACTTGCTCCTAGAGCTGAGTCTGAATGAGCATCATAAAATAATTCTGTCTGAGGTGCAGTGCCCCAAGGTCCCAGGCCAGAGTGAAACCTCAAAGGACAGGATCTAAGGTGACCAAATTCCTCAGTGTTTTCTGAAGTAAAAAAACTTTGGTTGGCCTTCTGTGATTTTGAAAATAAAAAATTTGTATGATTTGGCTCCAAAATCATTTGGTGGGGGTGTCAAGTGCTTCAATTATATCAACACACCCAAAACTTTCATTCAGAAAGGGTTTTGTCCTCGATGGATTAATTTCTTGACTACTTTCACCAAAATGGGATTTTTTTAAAAAATATCATATCTTGTATGTGATATACATACTTGCATATTGTTACCCAGATGGCCAAAACAATCATTTTTGAAAGGTACTACTTCCACAACTGAAGGCAAAGATTACAAAATGTGTTTCTGTTGGAAAATGTCCTATATGTTTTTCTATCAAAAGCACTAAAAAGAAAAAAAACTGCCACCCATCAGTGAAAATGTTAATCTGTTAAACAAACATGACCAACAGTATGAAACACATCTTTTTAAAAAGTGAACTTGAATTACTTTCCATCATGCAAACATCTTATATCGATTACTCAAGAAAAGACGACTTAACTTCAGAAAAGTAATGACCAAATGTATGCTGACATGGTTGAAATATTAAAAATATCATCAACACCACATAGCAGTTATTAACACTGTCTTTGATCTTTTCGGATACCAGCTGCAGTTCTGTATTAAGGTTTACAAACACCTAAGAATGAAAATTTTGCATTCAAATACAGATGGTCATCATGTGTCAGAATCAGGCAGGAATTCTGGAAAGGAAAAATAACTTTAACAGACAACGGGCCTTCTACCTAAAGCAGTAGGTACACCCATGGCATACCTCTAACTGTTTTCTCTCTGATCAGATTACAGACTTTTTTTTTTTTTACCCTAAGGTATTTCTCCAGCTACTTTGACAACAGCTCTCTGAAATTCGGCATTTGCTCTTTACCTCCCACCAGTTACTTCCCGGTGCCCTGCTGTGCCACCCGGGACCACACGCCATTTGCAGGCCAAGGGTGCAAGTGCAGCTCCCTCAGCGAGCCTGAGGAAAAGCAATTTAACACACGTCTGTCTCACCAGGACCACAGCACACACTGTGTTTTGCTTGTTTGATCTGATTTCAATGGTTTTTGAATCAGGACAAAAGAATTCAATCATAAAATGATACATGGTCCGCAGCTGAGGCAAAGTCCTTTACATCTGCTTTTATGCTTCCACACAGACAGAAACAGAAATATTTGGGCTTCCCCATCTCATCCACTGCTGGGATACACCACTTTCCACGCCTGCGGATTTCAGTGGTGCTCCTTGGTGCACACAGATCCCACATGCCACCCACAGCAGAACAAGTCTCATCTGTTGTTCCATTTCCACACCTCAGACATACTGCAAGCACAACTTTGGAAGTAAGAAACAACTGGCATGCACTAGCTGTCTGAAAAGCTCAACTGAATTTTTTTTTTTTTTTTCTCCTCTAGCACCAAGCAAAGTTTTCTTTAATGAGGGAGAATTAAACTACTTCAGTCAAAATTTCTTCATGGTTTACTATATCCCTCAGCTTGACAGACCATGGCCAAGGCCTGTTGGTTTTACCCGAACTCATCACCTTCCAGAAAGAATAGTTTAGCATATTCAAGCAGTTGGGGAAACTTGCATACACATCAAGTGACATTGTCAAGCTTTCAAACTGCACAATGCTTATTGTTTCAGTTTTATCAAAGAAGTATTGTTAACTAGCTTGAGCTTTTGCCCCCTTTTGTCATTGTGAAAATGGACTCTCCAGAAATTACACCCACACTATTCTGCCTGCAGGCTCCTGAGGAGCTTGTATCGTCCTAAGGATTCAGGCGGGTGCCCACGCAGGCGATGTCTGCATTCTACTGAGGAGGCATGATGTATTTTTCATCAAGAGAACACCTGCCTGCCAGGAAAATCCCACTAATGGCCTCTGAATAAATCATAATTAGGATGTAAATGCAGGATAACTCTCGCACTGCTCCCTCCAACACTGGGATTCAATAACCACCACAGCAGGGGCTAAAACCCTTCTTTGATTTACCTCCAGAGGAATGTTGTTTTGCTAAATGAAAGTGATGAAATTCAAAGAAAGATTTATCATACTAAGTTGCTCTCAGAAGTACCGGTGCTATTTTGCTCTAATTCAAAGTTTGCTTCTGGTAATCAGTATTTTTTGTCAGCTCTTCCAATGATTCCTTAAGACAGCTGCCACTTAATTTCAATTACTCACCCATTTGTTCAAAAACACTTAACATGCATTTTCTGCAGGAGGCCTGGACACTCTTTATTTGTTGATTCACCTAAAAATATGAATTAAAAAAAAAAAAAAAAAGATTCCCTCAGCTTAGTTAATGCAAATGATTACCTTCTCTTTAATTCTGCCACCATTTTGACCAATGCTGAAACATCAAACAGTAATTAAAACCCCAGAAACTCCATGGCTACTTCATTCCAGTGGGATTACATTTGATTTTGAGAGAAAAGGAAAATTAAGCGTGTTGCATAATGTCTGTTTCATACTGGACTAGAGTTTCCTTTTCTCTTTCCTACGAATTGCCAGTTTGACTTTCTCCCTGTATGTCCACAACCCCATCAACTTGAGGACTAATTACACCAGTGCTGTGCTGCCAGCTGAGGAATACCCAAGTTCTCAGGCCAAAGTCCAGGCCCAAGACAGTAAAGTGCAAGCAACCCTCCGGGGCTGTGTCCCAGCTGCGGTGCCTGCAGAACACCTGGGAGAGGCAGGTTCTCTGCTCTGGTCACGTGCCCTGATCTAATTTTCTGCCCATGAGGTCATGGGATGCTCAGGAAATTCTCATACTTATCCATAATTTGAAACCTTTCTTCCTTAAACACGTAATGCTGGAACATCTCAGCCACAACAGTACTTGTAAAAGTAACAGCAAATACTAAATGTTTTTATGAATTACAGGGTTTCCAACAGCCAAAAGACTCTTCTTTCAGAGAAAGAAAAGCCACAGACTATCACTGCTGCCCTCCTAACCTACTGAAGACTATGTCTATCAGATGGCTCAGCTCTAGAATGAACCACAGCACATCTCCATTGCCTCTCTCACACCTGAATCAACTGATGCATCTCCTTGGGGTATTTGCTGGTCAAGCACCTTGCGCTTTCTCTGGATTGCAGCCCTGGGCACAGCTGGGTTTGCTGGGCTCACACTGACTGGCACATCTGGTTGACCCTATGGAAAGTCAGTGAGAGGGTGGACTCAAACATGCAACCATCTTCAACAGCAGCAAAGCCCTCACCATCACCAGCACAGGATCACACCACGCAGACCAAGCAGGATGTGTCAGATAATTAATGAAACTGCACAAGCACTTCATTAACACCTGGGACCAACCACAAACTTTCTGCTGCATTATACTTTTGGCAAAATCTTCCTAAGTGCCTAAGGTGCATTTTGAAAACTGACAAAATTCTCCAAGATCCCAGGACCCACTAAAAGCTGGTGGGGCTCAGGCTACCGAGTACCCAAACTGACCACTACCCCACACCTACTCATCTCACAGTGGGCACGGCCCTGGGTACAAACGTGCCCAGAGTGGGACACAGGCTGGGCATTCCTCATGGGCTGTACCGCCGATGGATGCTCAGTTTGGCAAGATTGTTGGCTTCTTCACAGTGCACTCTTACTTTCTGGGGCATTTATGGAGGAAGAAAGACGGGCCAGCATTTCAGAAAAAGTTTTGTATCTAAAAAACAGACAGAAATTTAGGAGAACTTTTTAAAGAAAGCAAATGAACTTAATGTCCAGCATGGGAAGCATAAAAAGGGAGTTGGGTACAAAATTTGCTTAGATGCCAAATGGTACTTTTAGAAGCATCCATCTGAACCTTTATAGACTTAACTTCCTTCCAGCTTCAGACCATCAGGATCTTAAGAACTTCTAAAAGTAGTACACTAAGGGTAAAAGCCCCAAATGCATCGACTCAAAAGGTCCTGAGCAACCGCAATCTTCGATTATAACTTAATGATGATGATGCAGAGAGATGTTTACACATGTCATCAGAATAAAAACTGATGAAAAACTATCCTTGCATTGTTAACAAATGCATTCTCAAATTACATCTGTCCTGGGAACCATTTCCTGCCAGAATGTGACCATCATTTGCTGTGACAGCCAGTACCCTGCACAAGGTCATGGGCGAAAGATGTTGGTGACACACAGCCACTGCCCCAGCTTTCTGTAGGGTTTCACTCACAGAGGAGGGGAGTTCAAAATGCTGTCAAGAGCACTGTAGAATCCCTTTTTCCTATTAGATTCTTGCAACTTACTTCTGATGCATGGCTTGCAACATCTCATCAAACACCACCTTCCTACTGGAGGAGGCAGATGATTTTCAGAGATGAGTGTCAACAGTCAACATGCTCTGTACATCAGCCCAAAACAAATCAAGAAACTCCAGGTTCCCTCAAGAACTAGAGCATGCATAGTAACCTGTGGCCCTTTGAGCATGGTAGAAATAATCACTTCTAGACACAGGCATTTTGGGTTATTGGAAACTAAATTCTCAGACTCCTCCTAAAAGAAAAGGTAATAAAGTAAACAGTTTGGGGCTTTCACACTCTCTACTTCCACATGTTCCTTCTGCAACACAAACATAATGAGAGAAGACATATTCTACGGTAAACAGCATATGACTATCAAGCAAACTGGGAATATGGGGACAAAAGTGTTTATATGTGATTGCTACGTGACGGGCAGAGTGCTTTTCTCGTTGCACTGGGAGCTGCAAGCACTGTAAAAAGCCCTCTATTTAAGAGAAAAGTAAATTTCTTCTAGACTACAATGGAACAGGATCAGTCACCAAATGACATTACACTGGAGAAAACAAGATATCCAATCAGAAAAAAATAGTCCAATCTTTCTTTTCCTGCTTCTAAATAACTGAAAACTAAAATAGGTAAATTATTTTGTTACTGCAAAACACTGTTTAAATGGGGCTTGCTTTCTCTAGTATCCAACAAACCTATTTGCATACTGTATATATCAGAAACCCATATCAACACTGTAAACATCCCACCTGAAATCTGAGCACTCTGCTGACTGAATACTATTATTTTTCTTTACTTTTTTTTCCCAAAAATATGGCACACACTGTGGTTTATTTGGAGTTTGAAATACCAAAGGACTGTACAAAGCAGAAAACCATCAAATTCAAATGTCTTGCCTCCTTTGGACTAGAAACTATTATAAACACCCCTAAAAATTATCTACTTCATTATTTACTAAAAAACCCCACAGCGAAAATTCACGTTTGTTATAAAATCTCTGGTATTTTCTTTTGTGTTATATTTAAGCCAACTTGGGAAATTTCCTGATCATTGCTTGCCAGAAATGCACTGCAAATACTGAAAATCAGATTCATAAGGAGTGGACACCTGCAGAAATTGGATTCTATTAGTAACTATTTGGAGTGCAAATTAAGTAACCTCTTGCCAAATTAACCACTCCCAGCTACTTTAGCATCTTCACTGGTATTCCTTCCAGTTTGGATAAAATCAATGGTCATTCTGATTTTAAGCCTGTCAGCAATTCCTTCACTGTGTAAAAGACCTGAGTTAATCAACCTGTGCCCACAGACTTGTGCAGCAATGTAGTAACGAACTGTGACAGCTGCATTGGTGATACAGAAAGAAATATTAACAAATCAGAAGCTGACCTTGATTTTATCTAATGGCAAACAAAAATGATGACTAGGAAGAATATAATAATCCCATTTCAGTACATTTTTAGCATAATTTTTCTTAGGTCAACCCTGTGTATGCCTGCTTAGAGGAATATGTGGAACTCCACTTGCAGGATTTCACCTCATTCTTGAATGACTCTTTGTAATTTTAGCAACTGGGAATCCACTAACATTTTCTGCAATAACTTCTTCTTTTCTTCTAGTAAAGACAATATAAAAATCAAGATAAAAAATCCAGTCCCAGTGATTATGCACTAAAAATGGAGAAAAAAGTGCTTGGAGATGTGACATTTTAGAGCATCTCTGTAAGTTTAATTTTTAAAGGACAGAATGAGGCATATTAAATTCTTCTCATACTGTTAGTTATGCATACCACTTGTACAAGAAAACCCCAAATAAAATGATTAAACAAAGTGCCTGAAGGGTTGTGAAAACAGTGCAAGCTGGAATTGGTGGAGACTTGCTGAGATCTTGGAGACAATTTTTTTTTTTTTTAATTAATTCTGCTATATCCTTTCACTTTAAAGTAATAGTGCAATCTGGATCTTCGTTTTTCTGATTTCATTGAAAAACACTAAATATTTCTGATGATAAGAGCATTCAGAGCCATGCTCTAGAGTCACTCTGTTGAAAGGCAAATGCCTTCTCTACTGGCAAGAGTAGGATGGGCAACCTGTAAGAAACCAAAATCCTGTTTTTCAGCAAAAGCTCACTCTAATGCAAATACAATGCAAAAAGAAACTCTGAAGTGATAACACACATGCTGATTGGCTTTGATAGACAATATTTTCCAACATTTTTGGGGAAGAATCAATAGGATGATGAAATATGGTGAATGTGTAACAATAGCAAAAAGTGAATGATGCAATGTCAGAAATTTAATATAGAAAGGACTTCTACAAAATCTTCCTTTCACAAGCATTTTTATGCACAGAAGCAATCCTCTTCTTGGCAAGGGGCTGCAGGATCAAAACATAAAAAGCATACATTGTCAAATTATTTTTGAGAGATACTGAACTTGATATATGTAATTCTTTTTGTAGGAACAAAACTGTAAATTGTGTGGTACTGGTTGGTGCTGCCAGTCCCAAAGAGCATTAATATTTTAAAGCCTTGATCCTGTAGACCACTGGCTTCCCAGAAGGGTCTATACAAATTACTCAAGACTTTATTTGTTGGGTTTGGAAATGGCTACACTATATAAAAATGTTTTTGTATTTATTTTTTAAAAAATTACCTTTACAAAAAAACTTTCCTCTTTTTTTCTTTTCTTTTTTTTTTTTTTTAAAGATTTCATTATCTACAGGAACCCATAAAATTTTTTCCATATTTACATCTAGATAGCTAATCATTGACAAATATAATATTGTGAAATAAAATATTGAAAGTGAATATCCAACCTTTTAAATAGACATTTGGCTCACAGCATAAACAACAGAGAAAACAAATAAACAGAACCAAAAAAAAAAAAAAAGATCCGCTCTTCTTACAGGCCTGATCTTTCCCTTTCTCTTAAAAAAAAAAAGGAAGAAAAAAAAGTATATTGGTGGGATCCAACACACTGCTTCTAAGCAGAACGCCAGCAACAAACTGCTCCCATCCAGCACCTCACACAGAAAACCCAAGTTCTCTGAAGCTCATGTGAGTGGTGGCTGAGACATATGAGTGTCTGGCCGACGCAGGACTGGCACCTGTCCCCCACACTGCTCCTAATGCATCATTTGCCTTTTATTCTGAGGAAGGCCATGCCCCCCACACTCCCCTTCCTTTGATCTCAAGAGAAATAGTTTAGCTTCGTTCTTAAATGATATATTTGGCCACTGATGCACGAAGGCATAAGGTTAGGGTAGGAAGATGACAGCGTGCCTCTAGTTGCTGAGTACGTGCACACATTTGCTCTCTGCTCTCTCCTGCCCAAACACACACGCTGCCCCACGTAGCCATTCATGCACTCAGAATTATACAGAGGGCCAGGGCCTCTCCCAGGGAACAGACCAGTGTGCCACACAGTCCCTAGAAACCCCCTTTGGCAAATAAATTGCCTGGCACATCCCTTTCGCTGGCAGTCTGGGGAGTGCTGAGAAGGAGGAGGAGGAGGAAGAGGAGGAGGAGGAGGAGGAGGAGAAAGAGGAGGAGGAGGAGGAGGAGGAGAAAGAGGAGGAGGAAGAGGAGGAGGAGAAAGAGGAAGAGGAGGAGGTGGAAGAGCCCGCACAGCTGGATGGAGCCAGGCCAGCAGCCTGGGCCACCATGGCCCCTGCTGAAAGGCTGCTGCCTGCAGCTGGAACGCAAACTGGGACTTGGAGGGCTATGGGGAACGCAAAGCTCCTCAAAATGGTCTCCAGTTCCCTTGTGGGCACAAATTCTCTAGAGTTCAGGCCTGATTGTGGCTGTGTATTGGGACATGTGCTACAGCTAGTGTAATAAGAACTCAAACTATGCTATATTATATTACATCCACTCACACTTGCAAACACCCCCTCACGCACACATATATGTTGGCAGGATATATCAGCATTCATATAAAGCTTTGGAACGTTTATCCCTCAGCATTAAGAGCAAAAGCTACTTAACTGGTACCTTACTGTTAACTGCAAATGTGCTTTAGAAGCAGCATTTCCTTAGATAACTTTTGTAAATATCACAGTGACCATAATATATCATTAAATGTATTTTGCTGAAGTGCGCAGCCAATAACCCTGGCTATATATATATATATTTATATAATTCCACCCACTCCCAAATCTCTTTAAAGAAAGTCTGTAAAAGCCGGTGTTGCAGTGTGAAAGCTTCCTTGAGCATAGGAGTTTAAACAATGTACCTCACCATAAAAAGGAAAGAGAAACAAATTAAACATCTGTAGGCGCATTATCCCATACTTCTACAGTGTTGTGTCTAAATGCTGTGCTGGCTTGAGAAAGAGTCTGTGCACTAGTCAATCCGTCTTAGAATACTGCTGTAAATATTGTCATTGGTTTGGTTCTACAGTTGTGTTTTCCTCTTCATCCCTCTTGGTCTTCCCTTTCTCCTCCTCCTCTTCCCTGATGGCCTGGATTTGTTCTGAAGATTGGTGCAGCGTGGATTGCTCCGTGCCTTGCTTCTCTGTCCCAGCTAACCTCTCCTCATCCTCAATTACTTTCTTCCACATTTTATGGTTCTGAAGCAGGTGCTGAGTGATCTGACAGTAGATTTTCCTCCTCTTGAACTTCTTCTTTCCTGTAAAATACCATGTGACATTAATGTACCGTTTTCTGTGAGAGAAGAAGGAAAAGGGACTGAAGGTATAGGAAGCAGACAGGGTGTACTATGACATATAGGAACTGCACCAACAGATTTTTAAAATCACAAATTTAAACAGCCTTAAAATTCAGAAAACTATGCTTCTCCAGACCTCCAGGAAAGCAAACTGGTTTCCTTCACAGTTTGAGCCACAGCTCCATCCTATCATGGGCTGCATGCTGTCCCTGACTATGCAGCTCACAGAGACATCTAGTGCTTGAATGGTTATGCATAAAACACGTTGCTGAGCTGTTTTTGCTTGTTTTTTTATATCAAATACTTAAAGACTCTGATCAACCTACTCCATAACACACACATTCAATTCTATGCTCCAACCCCCAGCCTCAATGGATTCCTGCTGATTGCCCCAGAAAAATATCCTGATTTTGTTTTCTCCACATTTTACCTATGATTTGAGCTGTAGAAGGATAATGAATGAGCAAGCATTAGCAATCAAAGGAAGGGACCCTTTTTCCTGTGTTCCCTTTTAAAAGTCAGAGATTTACCACTCCACTCCACCATTGTAGTGGAGATGACCTTAAAGCCTTTGCACAACATTGCTTCGGCAGCAGAGTGTGACCACTGAAGAAAAGTAGTCATATAGCCAAATACTATCAGGGAACTTGCGTGTCCTTGGTATCGAAGCATTGGTCCCCTGCTGCCAACCTATAAAATATTTTTGCCACTGGTAGTTCTCATGGCTCCTGACACAGCTGCGCTACAAGTGTTTTGCTGTCTGAAGTGTTTTTGTCTGTGTCAATTACAGCCTGTCCAACACAGATTGTTAACTCCTTAACAGTACAAAGCTTGAAGGTTTTCCCTGGTCATTAACAGTGGCAATGGCAGCCACGGAACTGAAATAATAACCCCCCCAAAGACAACTGCTTATTTCTTTTTAAAAGAAGGTGACGTAGAGGAATGTTTTGTACCAAATAAATTTGCGTGGATTAGTATTTGCAGGTTGCCTAAAGTATGTCTGTGTCAGGATCCAAAATGTTTAGCCCTTGAAGCTTTTGAACTGAAAACAAAGAGCTTTTCACTGAGCACAGACCAAATCCAACTCAATCCTTCATTAGAAAGCCCTTGGTTCCCAGTAAGAAACCTTCAGGTTTAGCACTAATAGGAAGCCCCTACCCTGCCAATGACACAGCAGGACATTCTCTCCTGGGTTTCCCGGGTGACCCTACATCTTGCTGCTCTCTGCAGACATCAGTGAGCACTTGCTGTGGTGTTAAAATTTGTCTGAATCACTAAAGACTGATCCTGTTTATCTCTTATACTTGCATCAGAACTTTGGGGGAATTACATGCTCCTGTATAATAACAAAAATTATTTTAAGGTACCTTAAGGTTTTATAACTCTTAAATTTTTCTCAACTGCTTTAGTGAAATATCAGGACCTAGGTGAAGTGTTTTCTGCTGCAATCATAATTCTATCTGCCTAAAAGGTATTTTCATGAAGAAAAATATCTTCACCAACATCTACACAACTCTTAGTATCTATGCATCTGACAACCTTGTATTTTGTTTCACTGAGAAAGTTTAGAACATCCAAAATTTTGTTGATCATAAGTATAAATTTCTAATGACCAGTAAGACCCCTGTATTGACACAAAAGATGCTGTAGATTCCTGATTGAGATCCACATAGTCACAGAAAATTTAGGGAACCAGAAGAAAAGCAGTTTGTAACACATTGGTATGATTGAGAAGATGAGCACCCCACATTTGGTAAGAAGGAAGTACGAAGAATTTCTTTGGATACTTCAAAACTTCTGATACATTCATTTTTAAGGTTCTGAAAAAGATAAAGCCTAAAAGCACCAGGTTGGATAGTACAGTCATGGAGCAGAATGTGAAAAAGAAAACAGAAGACAACTAAAAAATGGTCTGTTTTCAATGTGACAAGGGTTAGTAATGGTTGGTGCTTTTATCCTGAATGCAGCATTGTTGGACTTGACTAGCAGTGATACAGAAGATAAATGAATACAGAAATGAGATGAAAGGAAACTAAGGATTTCAAAGTAAGGTTAGACACTCCAATGGATAAATGAGAACATACTTCATATTTCTTTTTAATACAGCAGTATCAATTTCAGGCTTCGGGGTCTATGTTGGTTACCAATCGCATATGCTTTCCCCCTGGTAGGCAATTCCATAAATGCCAGTTTGCCACAGAAACATATGGCTCTGTCTGCTATGACAGAGCTGAAAGATCATAAGTGTTAAAATAAACCTGTGTGTATTGTATTACTCAGTGTTTGTTCTCAACAACAATCTTTTATGTACATGAACCTGCTAAACTTAAAATATGTACGTGTGTGTGTGTGTGAACAACAGCAATGATTTCTTAAATACGAACTGTATACCCCTGGATCTTACTAGAGATAAAAGGTCAATTCTACACATCAGGAGATGTGGACTTTAGGTCCATGCCCTTATGTGACTAATTGTAATCATCAAATCTTTCTGCTTCTCAGCTTCCCCAACAGAAAATAGGGATGATACTCAGTAGGGCATGAAAGTATGTGGGACAGAAAAAGTGAGGCTGTTAAGAGAAAAAGCTATGTGTCAGTATTTCACTAGTGCACTTAAGGCTAGTGCTTTCTAGGAGGATTAGGAGAGGAAGAGAAAGAGGACATGGACAAAGGAAAATAAAGAACAGTAGTAGGAAATTCAGAGGGAGAACTAACACAAAAGAGAGGAAAAGGTAACGCATGCAGGATTAAACTGGTAAAAGAAACAGGTCTACAGTTGCAGCCTTTTGTCTTAAAAATCACTTCCAATGAGTTCCTGAGATCTCCTTTCAAGCTACAAACTTTTCCTCCCTCGGTACTACAAATGTCGGTACTGTTGCCCTTCTGGAGGAGAGGCAGGAGATGATCAGGTTTAGTTACTGATTAGCCAGATGGGCCAAGTGACGCAGCTCCCTGCACACAACACAGCAACGCTCAGTGCCGATTCTCTCATTGCTCTTCTCCACACATGACCATGAAGTGATATCATTAAAGCACTTCCACTGCTGAAAACTCTTTTACTGCATCAGCATCTCAGACCCTCATTCTGTTATTCTTGTACATCATGCTAACTCATGAAAATGATGACTGCTTTCCTCAAAAAATCTTCTCCCAACCATCCTTTCTTCAACTGAAATTGTTGCAGTTTACTAACATCAGTGCTGAAATAGTCTAAAAAGCCCTCATGCACAGACAGGTGATCCACCACCAGAAACCTCAACTGAAGGTGGAAATGAGTAGAAGGTATGAACAGGAATGCATATCAGTCCTGAAACCATGAAGCGTCTCCATTACCAACGTAACTGGCTACCATCACCAAGGGCAGCCCAGAATCACTGTGACTCTGGAGAGGCCCATGTTGAACCTGACAAGCTCACATTCTCTATGCTTTTACAATATGGCTGTTCAGTTTCTGGTTATAATATGCAACTTGCTATGTTGAAAAATGTAAGTGTGAACAACTTACTGGATTCAGAATTTTCACAAGTTTCCATTTCTGCTGTTTCTTCCTCTTCCTGCTCATCAGTGTCTCCTGATTCATCACTATCTTCTATCCATTTTCCTGGCATCAGCCCCGCTGAGTCATAGGAGTTACATAGTGGTCCCACGATGTGAGTGATGAAAGACTCCTGGAGGTGTGCCAGCTGAGGAGCAGAGCGATCCATGAAAGGACTGATTGGCAAGCCCAGGCTAGCCTCTTCGTCACCCTGGAGATGAAAAATAGTGGTAATTTCTCTGAAGTAAATGAAACAAAACCATATAATGAAAAGGAGCAATGCATACCAAACCACTTAAAAATGATGAAAGAAAAATAATTCAATTCTAATGCCACTTTCATAGCATGCCAACAAAACACTACTACAGTGCCATCACGTCAAATGGTTAATTGAAGTTAGAGCTCTTTTCTTGTAATAGGACCCACTACCAATAATGTAAATTTAACAAGGAAGTTAGTTGATGACTGCAAAATGACACCCACTGCTCTTTGTCCTGTACTTTACACAGTGAACATGAGAATTGAAAATTCTTGTTTTCTATCTTTCCTCACATTCTTTTCAAAAAATTCCTTCTGATTTTGTGGTTGTTAGCTCACAACCTTGTAGTCAGCCACATGCTTGCAAGGAACAAGACTGAATTTCTACAACCAAGGGCTATCTCATTGAACTGGTTTTCTTATTAATATTGCCCTTAATATACATAACATGAAGAGATCCTCTTGGCTTTGGGTCATAAATATTTGTTTCCTGGGACTATTAGAATGATCCCTATGAAAGCAGGACTTAGAAGCAGTAAATCTTTCACATAAAGCTTTATTCTAGCTTTTCTTGGGGAGGGAGAGTAGAAGGAAAGTATAGGAAGACTTTTTCGCTCTCCTCTCATGATGTAAAGGAAGGTAAAACTTTCTTACAGAACCAAGTCTGATATACTCACTCATCCCTATCACAGCAAAGCTTCTGGTGATATCAATGAGTTTTCAGATGAGTATACATGTAAAGACTGGATGCCACCTTCACAAGAAAAAAAAATCTAATCTCCCTCATCAAGCCTGATATGCAAATTAATGTTTTAACACAATACAGAGATCTGTATTTGAGAATATAGATTATAATTTGGAGAGACATTTTCAGTTTCCATTACGCTACAGATGACCCGAATTTATCTCTTTGTAACCTAAATTTTCCACAAGTCATGGACAATGTATCTGGTCAACACCCTGTTGACATCTGGGAAGGCCAAAGAATGGGAGTTAAATTTTGAAGTATGTATGACAAATGTCTAATTTCCTTGTGTCTTGTTCCATCACTATCATAATAACCTACCCTGAAATGTTATGTTCAATCATTAAATGCAAAATATTATTGTTCACAAAACACTGAAACATGACATCCATGCTTGAAATAGCAAGCAAATTAAGAAGAGGTGGCAGCTTGCTCTTCTTTACAGTAACACATCTGAGATTTCCTGGTTGTGAGCTGCCAGCAGTGGGAAGAAAGCTGACTGCTGAAATGTTTACCAGTTCTTTTTTCATGTTCCGTTAAAACATGATTTATTATGTGAAACATCTTGCAAGGCATTTTTGGATTCTTTTAAATGACTAACCTGTCTTCAAAGAAGTACACTGAGCATGTGAAGGGAAGAAAAGGAAACATACTGCAACAAGATGACATAGAATTTTCAATGTTTTTATGCAACACATTTTTAATATGGAGTTTTTATTTATGTGGGATTTAAATTCTTCAAAGGAAATGGTGTTTATTAAAGGAAATTCAAGAAAGATATTTCATTATTTTCACAGCATAAGTTGCATGTACATATGTATGCTTTTTCTTAATAATTCTAGGGAAATTCAAACTTCCCATAAAATTCTCCTTTTTTTAGAAATGAGAAAATCAAGACTTTTCCCTTCTCAGAAAAAAACTGATGATCAAAAGCATGGTGAAGATGGTTTGATACTCCTCTCCTATCATATTACATTAAAGAAAATCAGGTTTTAACTTAGGTTAAATAAATTGAGACTCTAGCTTGTCCTCCTTAATGTCAAAAGTCAGTCCTAGGAAGAAAACGTTCTCTGCTTTCAATTCCATCAGTATCCTGTCAACATGGCAACTCATGCCATGCAAAAAAAACAAAACAGGAAACCCACTGAGACGTACTGATTTCTCAATACAGTCAACGCACACTTGCTATTAAAACAAAAAACAAAACCAAAAACCCCTAATAACTTACTGACTTCTTGACCTCCTGGAATTTAGAAGCCAAGAGTTCAAATATATTTTTCCATAGTCCCCATGCCAAAAGGAATGCCATTAACAAAGATAACCTATGTGTTATTCTGAATCAAATTTTGCAAAGGATAAATTTCAAATGTATTTTTTTATAATTACAGATTTATAATTATAAGAAAGATAATCTCCAACAGTCCTTTGGAACAGTTTCCAAGAACACAACAACATCAGTAGCACACCTTTCTGACTGACGGAAAATAAAGGAGATTCCTACTGTGGAACAGATAACACAGTCTCCTCCCCCACGTGTTCCTCCCAAGCTTGATTCAGAGCTCACTACCCAGCACTTTGATGACGTTAATGCATTGGAGCACTTACTGGCCCTCCCACATTAGTCATGTTGTATCAAAGGAGAGTCATATCATTTATCTGATTAACAGGTTTTGTCTGCATGCAGTAGTCACCCACATCAGCTGTGATCATCACCAGAATTAACTGTAGTACAATTTGTTGGGCGAGTTGTAATGAAAACAAACATGAAGAAAAGCATTTCCTGAAAGACAATTTGGGAGATGAAGGTTGACCACTGTTGTTATGGGACTCACTCTCTTAAGGAAACATTAAAATAAAAATGAAACCAACTATATATGCAATATATGTAAGGGTCTTTGTTCTTTCTTTTTCTCAGGAGTTCTAAAATAAATGAAGGAGTTTCAGGTCAATGTCTGAATTTTGTCCCCTTTCCCACTTCTTTACATACTCCAGAAGGCAGCAGAAGCTGAAAATCCTGTGGGTTTTTTTTTTTTTTTTTTTTTTTTCCCAAACTGTAAGTACAGTAAATTTTAGGGAAGATGAAAAGGTTTTAAAAGGGATTAGTCTGTGATTTCAGGTTACTGCACAGCCTCCCCAAGAAGTCTGTGGGGTGTCTGGTACAGTGATTTAGCCTGCTTGCTTCCTCTCAAAAAGACAGGATGTGGAGTTTAGTCTACCAGCACATTCAAAATATGTTCCCACTCAGAAAACAGAAGAATAGTGTGGGAACAGCCCTGTCTCTTGTACTCAGCAGGGCTAAATAGGCTATAATGAGAAAAGGTTCAATTAAGGGCTCCCTTACACCTGGCAGGAGAGGACCAGTGCCTGGCTGTATTCCCAGGTCTTTGTAAATCAATCTATGGCTGTCCTCCTTCTTCATACCACCAACAGCTGAGCCTTGCATAATTAGTGCAGCAGTACTGACAGACCTTCTGAAAGCTGAAAGTGTTGCCTTAAAAAATCAAGCATGGGTCAGGATCAGTGTGTATGGTTAGTCTGTGATAAACTGAAAGTCAGTGTTACAATCATTCTCAGTACATAAAGGTTCTGTGTGTGTGAGCAGAGATGTGGTCCACAGGGAAGCTAAAATAATTGCTCTCTTTAGATCATCTCAACAAGGATGCTGTGTCCAGTTTTGGAGATTACATATCAATAAAAGTGTGAGCCATCTGGAGTGACTGCAAAGGAGAGCAACGAGAACCAGCTGATGTCTCAAAAGGACATAAAAGGAAGAAAAGATAGTTTGCATTGAAGAAGACTGAAAAAGAGACATGATGACTAAAAAAAAAAAAAAAAAAGAAGAAAGGAACACCATGTCCACTGTAAAGATAGTGTCAGACTGGAACAGTTAAGCCTGTAGAAACCCCATCATCAGAGGTCTTTGAGGATGCACCAGAAGCTTCAGTGACAAATGAACTTTCACTGATCCAGCAAAAGAATGGACTAGTATAACTCTACCCATCCTCTTCACCCCTATTCTCTGTGATTTTCACTAATCACCAGCCCTAGCATGCTGCAGGACTGTTTAACACAAGATATGCAACCAGCAGACACCACTTTGGACATCCATTTGTTTACCTGTTCATAAAACTCATTGACAATGCCTTCTGTCCACTGCAGATGCAAGTCTTTGCATTTTGCAGGCCCATTTATGTCAGCCAGTTTGATGCACATTTGGCAAACCAGCAAGCGGTCGTTCTCGTTAGTCCAGTCAATTCCAACATCATCATTCACCTAGTAGACAGAAAAAGAAAAAGCATGACAGTAATCCTAGGTCAAAGCATGCATCCACAGAGAAAGTTCTCTCCTGGAATATCTATCTTACAGTATATTTAGCTATTTAACAAAATCACAACTGTAAGCAGGTGAGCTAATCCAAGGTTGGAATTTACAATCAGCTGTAGGGCAATATGTAAAAAGAAAAATAAGCTAAAAGCAATGAGCATCGAGATAAATTACGAGAAACTGATATTTAGCAAATGATGTGCCTGTTTGAAAACATTTGCTAGGAAAACAAATGCAATCTTTCCATGACATTTTCCAAGAAATTACTACCTAAATGATGTACAAAGACAAATTACCATCAAATGCCACGCTGATTTAATTGCAGTGTGAAGATGCATGTAACAAGCTTATTTCCCTATTTGATCTATGTATGTCTGAAAGTATTCCCTAGTTTTTTACTCTTCTCTTTTTTTCCCATACCTCCCACAATAAAAAGTGATATATACTATCAACTGCTCTAAAATAAAAGTGTCACCTTAAAGAATCACATAAATGTTGAGGTTGGAAGGCAGCTTTGGAGATCATCTAGTCCAATCCCTCTGCTCAAGGCAGAGCTATCTAGAGCAGGCTGCTCAGGGTTGTGACCAGTTTGGTTTTAATATCTCTAAGAAGGGAAACTCAACAACCTCTCTAGGCGACATTTTCTAATGTACAGCCCGTGTCACAGTAAACACATCCTTTCTTATTTTTAAATGGGGATCCCTGTATTTCAGCTTGTGCCTATTGTCTCTTGTCCTGTCACCTGATACCACTGGGAAGAGCCTGGCTCCATCTGCTTTACTCCTCCCATCAGGTATTTATACACATGGCTGCATCCCATCAGGTCCCATGGACTGTGTCTAGTTTATTTAAGTACTCCCTAACCTGATTCCATTCACTGAGGATAAGTCTTCACCACTTCAGACTTTCTCTCACACCTCAGGGGCCTGAGATTCCTGAAGCCAGGTCTTAGCCACAAAGACTGAAGCTGAGAAAGCATTGAGGACTTCGACCTTTTGCATCTCCAAATGGTCAGTGATACCAACCTTTACTGCTGTTAGTTGCATTTTCTCATCTGTCTTTTTTCCTAGAATATCTCCTAGTGTGGGAGGGGCTGTCTTCTGTCCACTTAATTTTTGAAATTCAAATCCCTCCTTGAAACACAGCTTTCATTGCCAAGCTTGCAATAGTTGAAAATGGAAAGAAAGTTGTGCTATGACTAGATGAAAATTCCATATCCTCTGTCAGAAGGTCCCCTCCTCATACAGCAGTGGGCCCACATGGTATACATTGCTTTTGGTGTACATGATCCAGCATAACTAATGTCAGAAAGTAGTAAGCACTCCAATGCACTGATATCATCTAAGTGTTGGACAGTGGGCTTCCTTCATTATTTCTTGTTGGTACTTTCCAGGCTGCAAGTCTTCTGGTGGGAGGATGCTTGCATTACATCTCTTTACACTGACTTCTGTATAGAAGGGTCTCTCTGACTGTAGCCTCAATATACTAAAGTACAGTTCAGCAACCCAATCAATAACGTGATCATTTAAAGCTAGTTTTATCAGTTACAACACCTTCACTCATATACACGAGACCACTTTGGTACAAAAAGGATTTTCTAACCTTTTTTTAAGACAGAGACTACCCTGGGGAAGTCAGGCTCAGCCACAAGCACTGGTTAATATGCTCACTTTCTCCTCCACTTTTTATTCCATACATGACCATTGACTATTCAAGCAATAACGAGAGAGAAGGAGATAAACAGATGTCCTTACAAATCTACAGCAAGCTGGCAGGACGTGATACATCAGACTGTTCTCCTATTTATCTGCAGTGTCTCAGGTATCATCTTGCTTGGTTACAACAGTGCTTACATCTACCATTGTCCAGACTGATAGATTTAAGTCAAATTTAGTTTCCAGTATTCACAATTTACACCTAGTACTTTGGGCAAGCTTGTCCTCTTCCACAGTTAAGAAAGTTAATCTCTGTGACAAAGCCACAGTAATCACTGGTTTAGCCCATCTGTTTTCCTTCCTTACTTATGTTCACAGAAGTGAAGGTTTTGGTCTAAACTGTCAAATTCAAAGTATGTACTCATATAGCCTAAATTCCCCATGCTTTATTGTCATTGTAGCCCTGACAGATTAGAATCTGCCAATACTGTTCAATACTTATGAGGAAATTAGGCCGGTGAAAATCATCACAGAGTTTAAAATTAAGACTTAAAGAACCCCCCCATGATATTACTGGATGTTTTGGGACATGACTAGTGGGGTGCAGAAGGAAATCAGACTTTTATGGATCTACAGATCAGTCCTCTGTCTACCTGGGATCATAATTTAAGGCCTTTCTTTACAAATTCTTAAAGCCCAACAAAGTGAGAGATGTTACACGGAAATGGAAAACAAAACCAGTCATACATCTGGAGGCTTCAAAATTTCAGGATAGGTCCTTCCTCAGCAATACCACAGGAAAACATTTTACCTATGTCACCAAAACATCTAGGAGGTCCTAGTCCTGGATGAGAACTGGATGAGAAACATACTGTGCTTGGTGTGTTTCTCACAAGGAACAAGAAGGCAGTACCAGCTCCAAAGGCAGGTATCATCTGGGTAACATGTCAACAGTTTTGATGGATGATGGAGTTTATTGAAATAACTTGGTAGGTGGTGATTTCCCATAAGTTAGGTTAAAACTGTACAATAATTTTTAAGAATGGTTTCCAGGGTTGCAATTTTATACTCCCTGAATGGAGTGTGCAGGAAAGATCTTTAGTGACCATTCTCGAGGGTTTACCCATTTGAAACAAAGCAGGAAAGAAAGATCATGCTTTCATTGCATTTGAAATTAGAATTTCAAAATTGCTATAATTTCTGTGCTTTGATAATATAACAGTATGATTAAACCAGTAAAAATTCCCATTAAATATTCAGACATTATGGAAACTTGGTAACATCTTTGACTTTTTTTCCCCACGTGCTTTGCTAATAGGTCTAAAGTGCCAGTGAACAAGAAAACAATATTGAAAAGTAGGATGTAAGTAGAATTTACATTCAATAGTCCACAATATCCTTAGACTTAAACCACTTTCTGAAAAAACTAAATATATATAAGAAAAGAAGTTATGCCGCTAAATTTAAGTAAATAAGTAAATTTAAATAAGTAAAAAAAAAAAGGTGCCAGATTACTATGCAACAGAATGTCTTACAGCAGCCAAAAGGCCACTCAGAAGCAAGAACAACACAGCAGCCAGCCTTTCTAGTCTTTTCACTGTGATGGTACCAAGCCCCACAGTATTTTCTGATCATCCACCAGAAATGTGAACCAATCTTCTTACCTTGGCATTGAATTTGGCAACAAAATCAAAGTGTTTCTTCAGGTCAGTAGCCAAAATTGCCTCAATGACGAGGAAGCGGAAATGCTTGAACTCCACGTGGTCAAGGTTGACCAGGAAATTATACTCTGGCCTTGACATGAAAAGGTTCCAGGCAGCAGCAGCGTGATGGTTCTCCAGGACAGAGCGGTCGTTGTACAGCACCGCCTGTGAAAACAAGGCAGGCAGCTGAAAGCTGAGAAACCTCTTAGCAAAAGAAACACTGCAATGCAGAAATGAGAAGGATGTGGGGGGTGATGATGCATGAGGGAGGTTCAGGTTTGGTTATTTTTTTTTTTTTGTTAAACAACTTCTTGAGGTTTGTAGATGTGATTTTGGCATGCCTAATAGCAGACACCTGAACTATTGTGATGGTGAAGATTTATTGGAAGAATCATTTGAAAAATCTAGGTCATTCATGCTCAAGGATCTTCAGTTCCTGACTGACCTGTATCAGACGATAATAGATTATTTTGTTTCAGGTGACAGATTAGTAACTAACATAATAGAGGTGTGTGCTTCCCTGTTTCTCAGAACTAACCTCACTTAACAGGGATTATTATCTTTGGTGCTTGTACCTCACAATTCTGTCCACATTGGACTGATTCCAAACACAGAAACAAGTGAAATTCCAGTTTTTCAACCTCACGACACACGTTCATCCTGACAGATTTCTCAATGCTAAAATCCAAAATTGGTTAAATATTTACCAAACAAGATGCATAACACTCAGAGTGATGGCAACTCCGCTCGTAAACTAAAGACAGTTCTAGAAAGTGAACTTTAGGGGACAACAACCATTCATGAAATCCCTCCAGTTCAGCAGCATTGTGTCTTTCAACAATTTGGTTTATGGAAGGAAAAGCTTTGGGAAATATGCTATGTAAAATTGATACAAGTTTTGTTAACTTTTTACAGAAATATATACACATGTTCCAGTGGCTTTTCACTTCATTTATATTTCTCTGTCATCCAGAGATGAAAAAATTCTATCCTACCTGTAAGTAGAGAATTGATCCTTTACCCTAGAGAACAGGTTGCTGAAGCAACTCAGTTTTACAGCCCATATTGCCTAACTGTGCAGTAAGCGTTTGAAATAGATATATTCTGCTACCCAGGCCCAACTCCTGAGGGCAGATTTTTAATATAGCAGCACTTTATCGTTACTGGAAGCTGATACTGTTTGTCATGAAAGAGGAAAAAAACTAGATGCCAAATACAAGTTTTGCAAATTTCAGGTGATATCAGATTTAAAACAACCAACCAAACAAACAACAAACCAAAACCAAAGACCCAAAAAATAACAAGAATAATTTAGAATTTTCCCATTAATTTGTTTTCAAACTAGGGACAATACATTAAGGATAATCATCTAACTTCCCTTTTTGATTTCTACAACCACAAAGCTATAGCTCTCATTTCTTAAAAACAGATTTAAGGACAGCATATGTCCACCTGATATCAAAATTCTCAATCACGGAAAGATGTTGAAAGGATGAGAAGTATTACTACCAGTTTATAGTCAGAAACTGATACAAAGCAAGTTTAGGTGATTTGCTCTTGGTAAGAGAGGAAGTCTGGATTCAAGTTGGGGAGTAAATCTAGAATTTCTGCATCCCTACCTGACTTCTCATCATTAAGCTATCTTTTTTTCTTTGCTTGTCCATACAAATATTTTTCAGCACAGTATGCTGAAGCCAGGCAGGTCAGCTATGTAAAGTAAGGGAAGATGATCTCATAATTAAGCCAAGAAACAGTGACTCAGAAGTACTGAATTCAACTCCCAGCATCAGCAGCAACTCCTGTGTAACCTTTGGTAAGTCTCAATTCTTCATTTATAAAACTGAGATTATTTTACACCACACCCCTGCCCCACCATGATAGATGCATAGTATAAAAATACGTTTATAAAAGTCTACAGCTACTCATATTCTGTAGAAACAACAGAAAATATGTTATGATCACACACAAACTAACTTGCATGGCATACTGTCAGCTATACAGGTATATTTTTATTTGATTTTAATCTTTCTGTGCCTTACTGGGTAGAATAATTCTTATTTCACAGTTAGAGATTCTCTATCAGTCAGAAGAGCATTATCTTCTTCACTGAGACATTTTACCAGTACCTTTGCTTAACAGCTCTACTGACTGAGCGTGGTGAGGGTGTGTAAGAAGACTCTTACCAGTAACCCCCAAGTGAAGTGATTATTTCTGACACTTTGATAAGTTGTTTCAAAATATTTGGCAGACTTGTGCTTAATGGAAGCCACAGGCAAGGAGAAGATGTTACCAAAGACCTTCCAAATTTAATAGCAATGCTGCCTGAGGTTTATTTACCTGAGGAGCACTCGTTGCTACCAAAAAGGCATTGGTCCTTCCTGGATGATCATAATCATGCATGGCTGCAGCTACGTAAAGAGCCATCAATTCAAGAGCGGGGATGTTGCCAGCTAGGCATCCGTAGCTGTCATCTGTAGGTGTGTATGTCTTCGAAAACACATAACCCATATGGCCGTGAGTGATTCCACTGTCAGAATCTGAATAGAAATAAATAAATTAAAAAAAAAAAAATCATTACTGAAACAGATAGAAGCAACAAAGCAGGAAGAGAAGGAGCAAATTTAAAATACATCACAGAAGAGTAAACACATCCTGACCTCAATGCTTTCTGATACTGTGCTCATGATCCAGTGCAATAAGGCACACAGTGAAAAGGAACAAATTCTGATCCCGCCTGGGGACCTTACAGCAGAGCCTGTTCTCAAACTGTGTTACTAGCAATAAGCCATGGATTCATGGTCATCCTTTGTGGGTAACTCAATCTTCCCACTCCTTTAATTGCTTCACCATATAGATTAGTCTATGAGACACTAACTTAAAGCAACGGACTAGCATTTATCAATTCAGTTATGGTGCATGTTTTCCAATCCAAATGTCTAGACTTTGGATCTTTGCCGATTATCCTTTCAACAGCCTCTTTTTGATGCAGCTTAAATGTGCCTGTTAGAGGCAGATACTGAGTGAGATGTTTTGCTAATTTAATCTGCTTGAATGGATCTTACACACAGTTGAAAAATGTCTTTCAAATAACAAACATCAAAAAGCCCCAAAACTCAACCCCTTTCATTCCACCTCACCAATAAATCCTCCAACAACCCTTGCTAATGAAACTTTCAAGGAATAAAAATGTTTCCTGCCCCACCAAAACATCCTGAAGAGTTTCGCAAATGATATGTATGTGCCACACAAAGACCACCAAAAAAAGAAGAAATGGATGTGGTTTCTGCAAAACAAACTCCTGCTTTTCCAATAACTCCCTCAGAACTCCCACAAAATACAGACAGGTCCTCTAGTTGCTACAGCTGAACCTGGAGAATTTAATATAAAGATGCAATAAGAACAGCTTCCTGTAAGGAGCAATCATAAAAGAGCAGGCGAGTGGTCTTGCAGACTAGCTGCAAAAGGGTAACAAGTCTCTCTCTTTGGAGACCATGAGGAAAGGCAAAGGAACACTACGTGACAGCCAAGCAGTGGCAAGTGCACGGCACTACCTACATGCCCCAGTGGTTTTCTAATAGCAAAATAATGCAGGGTTTGAGGATTTAAAAGTCTACACTGCTTCTGGAGCAGTGCTGAAGAGCACTACTAATACAGTTGTCCTATAGAAGAAAAGCTATTGTAAAAACCAAATGGTAACAAACATCAGTTGTTAAGGGTGACCCCAAAGGCTTGCATTCACACTTCCTTAAATGTAAAGTATTAGGTTTTAGAGGACCAATTCCATTCTCTTCAAAGTTACATAAAAATACCTTAACACTTTCAACATTCAATGTGATACTAAACTTAAAAGTCTATATAATAACAAGTACTGCACACAGTCCTCAATTGTTGGCTTTCTTACAGCAAATGTCACAACAAAAACTTTAACATATACACTTGCACATTTAAATATACCTGAATCACTTGCTGACCCGTGATCATTAATCACAGTTGGGAGTCCTGGGATGGGCTGAGTAGTAAGGTACCAAACAGCATGTAGAACATCAGTTGCATGAATTCGGTTGTGATCTGTGATACAAAACAAATGACCCTGCTATTAAACATGAAGGATATTTCCGACAGAGGGAAATCAGCACCATCTAGTGGGTACCGAATGGCAACCAATTGAGCAGAGACAAATCACAGGCATAAAACCCAGCCGTATTCTGTAAATGCTCAGTTTTTCTTTTACTAAAGTTGAAGCACATTCAGTGGTATGTCTCACACCAGTGAAGAAAGAGAAAACAGCAGTGGAGCAGTGGGATCTGCAATGAAGGAAACTTTGCAAAGAAAGTGTTAAACAAGGAGCCTGACCTGTGTTACCAGCTCCAATCCTTTACTCCAGTGGTTGTCTTTAGCTTGTTAAACACCATCGGGTAAATACGCACTGTTAATCTCTGGTTCAAATTAAATTAGTGGGAAAAATCTCATCCACTTCAGTAGCCTGATTTCACCTAACTTCTAAATAGAAAGCAGGTAACACTTATCTGACTCTACTTGAGCAAATCTAGATGCTCTGCTAGCAGCTGCACCACAAAAAAAATAAACTCAGGATATGTGTACACTGCACAGTTAAACCAGGTTCTTTCTGCTGTTTTCTGGCTAGAGAGAAGAATTCAGGCCCTGAATCCTGTGATCTGGCTTACTACAATGAGAGATAAAAGTTACCCCAAAGCTCATACCAAAAAATCCTTCAAGACAAGATAAACTATCCCACAGTCAACAACACAACTGGCTGAAAAATAATCACACGCTAGTTCAGCACAAAGCATCATCTAAACATACACTAGCAAAAATCAACCATGACGCTGAAAGAGGGGTAACGCTTTGCTGCACCAGGACCAAAGTTTATATCTGGGATTTAACTGCTGAAGAACAAGCATTTCAGCTTGTGATTCGGGCTAATTTTGGGCAGAACACAAGTATCTTCTACAGTAATAAGCTAAACACAAAGAAATCTGCTAATCTGAATGATAACCTGTGGCTACATTACTACTACTGCAGTTCTGGAAAGATGCATTTCAGAGGACAAAGCACAAAAATGTGGGACTCAACTGCTGGGTCACCCTCATCTGTAAAACTCACAGTAACTGTCTACATCTCTAGGTCGTCATCTTAGAGACACCTTGGTGATGCCAATCAGTCTTGTGTCTCATTGGCAAACCAACTGCTGGTACAGGCAAAGAACTAGGTTACATTAAGAAGATAATGGTAAACAATCAGGGTAACACTAGAGATTATATGTATCCTTCATCAGGAAAAATTACCAACACACAAGTCCAGAAGCCCTCTCTAAGAAGCAATAAGTAAAGTTGATGGGATTCATTAGCAGTGAAAAATCCTCTGTACTCTGGGGGAGTAGAAGAGACTGGCAGCAAAATGTGTAAGCAATCTGGTTTTATACCTGTTGCATCCTAAAGATAGGAAGTGTGCAGCTGGCAGAGGGCTTCTCAGCACTGAAGATGAACTTCACCCTATAAGGCTGCTCCTTCTATGGGAGAGGAAGAATGAAGGAGAAGACCTAGGCCAGAGAAAGCACCCTGGAGAGCTAGATGTGCCCTCTTTCCACTGCTAAGGGATGGATGATGCCTGCTCCTGGTGGCTACAGCCACCTGCCCCCTCCAGAGCGGCACTGCTGAGCCCACATTTCTAACCCCGACCATCAGCGGGGCAGCAGCCACCAGCCTGCACCTCCCCGGCTCTGGCAGAGGAGGGCTCACCATCTCGCCAGCCCAGTGCTCTATGCCTTAAATCAGCAGCATCCTGCCTGCCAAGGGTAGACAGTTGTAACACAGAAAGGTTTCTTTGCAATCACTTTGCTTTCCCACTAAATGTGAGCATGACGTGATGCCACTTGGCCCTTGTACTTGCCCCTTGCTTTCCTCTCTTGATCTCCTTTGTCTTCCCGGTGTAAAACAAAGAAAGAGTCTCCTCTCCCCTACCTTCCTCAAAGTACTAAGAACATCTCTCCTGAGCCACTAATCTCCTCACACAAAACCTAGAGCATGGCCCTGCATAAAAGGGTCTAATGCTTTTCTCAGGAATAAAGGCTGGATTAGCCTCTTGTTAAACTTGTACTGATTTAATCCAACTGTAATAGTCACCATTAGTTTGGTGTGAATAACCCAGTTTTCAGTTCAGCAACCAGAAGAAAGAAGTGGTTACATTCATACAAGTTGTTTTGGGTTTTACCTCTTCACAGAGATGAAAAAATGGAAGGTAAATTAATTTTGTATTAGACAAAATATTCTGCTTTACTAAAATGAAACACACTTAAGAAAAATCAAAGAAATTAAGGGCTAGGTTCACAAAAATTTCTGAGGCTCTATGGATATCTAAACGTTTTAAACAAAGAGGAATGGTTCCAGTAGAACAGACAGACGGTGGGACATCCACCTATAACCCCCTCTGGCTATAATCTTCTGCTTCAGATCCCTGATCAGGTTCAAACACAAGGAAAGATTTGAAATTGGGTCTCTCACTTTCCCAGAATAGAGTCCAAACAACCTGGCTGGGAGGCATTTTGAGGAAGCTCTCATTTAATCCTTCCCACTGTAGCTATTCCAATTGGTATTCAGTATTTTGATAGAGAGACTATATGACTTATTAAACCAATGTTTCAGATGTTCTTCTCGGAGGTGGGAGAAAACAGGGTGTCCTATATCCCTCAACACTGGGGCTATCTGCCAGATAAAGGGGGTAATAACTCCCTCTCTCCTCACGGAAATAAAGAGTCTTTTGCAGTTGAAGCAGTTTGGTAAATTTGATTTGAATTAGTAAATACTTTGGGGATGACTGAAAGCAGGGTTTTCAGTGAATAAATGATTCACACTGAAAAATATCAGCTGAACTATATTGCAGAAGAACAGGATGCACTCATCAATTTGGCATATCTTTTTCTGCTTTACAAGACTTATCTCCTCCGGTAGCATAGCACTGCTACTGTGTAAAAATCCAAATTGCTTACGGTGGGGGAATATTTCAATATAATCCAACTGGGGCACTGGGGTACAATTACATCATCAGGGAACAGTTCTTTGTACCTAAAGTAGCTTTTATATTGCACAGAATTTGCCATGAATTGTTATGAAACAACATGAAAAGTGAAATGCAATGAAGAATATATGAGGCTGTGGTTCAGCGCCAGCCTCTGACTAGATGGCTATCTGTTTGGTTGTGATGTATCCAAAGAAAAAACGTAGCTGTCATTATGAGAGAGGAAAGGCTTCAATAACTGTGTGGAAAATACCGAAAACTTAAAAGGAAGGATCGTTATCCAGTGGGAATTTTTACTTACAAGGTATCTCTCGATATCCACATTCCAAGGCATGAAAGTAGTTCATAAATTCCCTCACTGGTATTTTAAAGGTTTCAAACAGCCCCATGTCTTCAAAAAGCCTGTATGATACCTGAAAAAACAAATCAACCGTGCTGCTAAGTAGACCATAAAAGCTCTAAAAATTAGATATAAAAATAATTCTGTCAAATTACCCCATGAAAACCTGCCTTCTTGGTGGTATTTTCTCAAGTACATCTGATCCCATTATAGCTGCAATTATTTGAATTTCCATAGTGATGTGGCCACATAGCCAAGCAGACAAGCTATTAGTACCAAACGGTCCTCATTCCTTCCTTACACCCTTCCAGATGTTCTTCTCTGCCTTTCATGCATATAGAACTCCTAAATTTTGCAGGCACCTCAGAAACATACACACATAAAGGAAGATACCCACAAGTCTTTAGTGTCTTAGGAAAAATTTCTCCACAAACTTCTCCAAGGAGCATCCATAAGTCAAATCAATTCTCAGAAAAAGGAGGAACACATGAAGGAATGACAAAGGGAGAGAACCATCTGAATCCTATGCATTATCTCCTTTCCCTCTCCCCCATTTTGGATGTGAAATGCCAAAAGTGACTTCTCCAACAGGATTTCAGAGGCAGAAAGTGGCTTAGGAAGCAGAGCTGCTCCAAGTGTTGCACAGAAAGATGACTGTAGACATCCAGGAAAGGATATACTGGAAGGGAGAATGTGATGGATGAGTGAGGCGGTGTTTGGGAGAGATGAGTGCTCAGAAACATAGACAGCAGCTGCTGCAAAATGGACACTTTTGAAGATAAGTTTGAACTTGACATACAGAACAACGGGACGTAGTAAAATTACTGCCTGACCTTTTCACTTCTTTCACAAATTGGACCCTAAAGCCTTTCAGCTTCTTTATTTATTTACTGCTGTTAGCTAAATTCTGTCCTTTTGATGCCATCTGTCTGGTAATGATCTGCCTAGAGCTAAGCAATTTGAAGCACATTTGGAATGATGAGTGCTATACTGATAAGAAAATGTTACAAATTATGTGGTTTTTTTTTTTTTTTTTTTTTTTTTTTTTGCGTTTTACACCTGAATGTAAATCAAACAGCCATCCACACCCATTTCTTTCTGTATATTTTGTATATAAATTGGGACCTGTGAACTGCACCTGCAGTTTAATGAACATATACTTCAAATGTCCTGCCACTCTGGATTTTTACAGTAAGAATAGTAAAAAATGGTATGAATTTGCAGCATTAATGATCTCCCATCCCCCTGCCCTCTGCCTCTTCTCCTAGTAATTCCCTGCCAGGAAAAATCTGCATGTGAACTAACTCTGGCAAAGCATTGCAACAGGCAGTGATGATGCAGAGACAGGTTAACTGTGGTGTCTGACACCATCTGGGATGCCCCTCTAATGACACATATTTGACAGTCAGGGGTTCTGCTGGTGTCTCCAGACCTTACTTCTGTTCCTACCATAATAGTGTAAGTGCCACTGGCAATGCAGTCAGAAAAATCACTGCTGGTTGTAATTTCTCTTTGTGGCAATGGCTGTTGGCCATAAAGTGAAAAGTTCTTTATAGCAAAGGAGCTAAGGCACTACTGAATTGCAGTGCTCTGGAAGACATGAACTTAGAATAAAAGGTAAGGCTTGTAGAAGGCAAAACTTTACTTTCTGAAGGCCCTATGGGATCCTCCTGTACTGAGGCAGAGCGAAGAGTTTGACTTTATGCATAATTTGGATCAGAAACTACATAGAATTCTGCTTATCTATCCGGAATCATGGCTGAAGTAAATAAGCCAGGATCCAAACTTTCACCTATGGAGAGATAAGGTATTTTACACTCATATTTCACAACAAAATATCTCTGGATAAAAAGAGGAAGCATAAAGAAATATTATTCTGCAGGACCAAACCTTACTCTTCTACATTACCAATACTGGACAGGTATCTTAAATGAAGCATGTAATAAACCCATGTTTTTACTTCCCTTGGATTTTGGGGTGCTGGAAATTCCACAGCAGTTGAAAAGAAGCAAAGCTGACTGTGATGGATATGAATGACAGCTCTTCCCCATGACTTGGAATAAAATGGTATTATTCTCTGTGGTCATTGGAAAGCATAAACAGTCAAGCAAGTCATTTGGACATTTTTGTAATGTTTTCTTTCTTCCTCTCTTTCTTAGCAAATGGGGAACAGGAAAGGGTAAGGGTAGGTCAGAAAAAGGTGAAAAGGGCATTGATGTCTTCCAGAGAGCCAACTAAATTCCTTCATGTAAAAAACCTGTTCTGTTTTGTTTATTCATTGCTCTGGATTAACCATTTTAAAATGCTCCTGTCTTTTAAAATCCTTCCTTCCCAAACTGCATGCTGCTTCATGAGCTCTCTGGGAGTTGCAGTCCCTGGGCCTGAGCACGGAGCCCTCGCAGCCGTAGCGTGGTCCCCACTGCCAGGGACAAGCCCAGGGAAACTCCGACGGCTGCCAGGCGCGTGGCAGTGAGTGCTCCACGCTGCCTTTATCCCCCAGCCTCCATTTTCTGCTTGCCTCTGCAATGATTGTTAATGCTTGAATGAACCATTTATAACTCAGATACTTCTGGCAATGCTGCCTGAAGAAGGACAAGCACTTCTGAATGATTCTTAATGGAAGCTGTTTTGGAAATGGGGATTGTTATTCACACGTAGCTCCTCTCCTGGATGTTGCAGGCACACATAAATGGCTCTCGTTTGATGACACGTTCAAAGTTTAGGTTGGCAGTTCCCTGCTCGTTGCTTGCAGGCTACCCTCTCGCACTCCATTTTTGTCTCTTGTATTTGTTTTCATCAGATGTGTGTTTCTTTTAAGTTTTCGGCACCCAGTCTCTGGCTCTGACAAACGCAACTCACATGGGCCACTGTGATGATCCTGGGAGTATTCCGTTCCCCAGGGATTGATTTCCCTTGCTTCTTCATATAACGGCTGCCCTTTCTCTCTGCAGAAGCCATGAGTGATGATGAGGTGACCAAACATTCCTCTTGGCCACCACCCAGGGACCAAATCACTCACACTGCAGTGATGCCACCTTACCTCGATGCTGCACGTGTAGAGAGCAGAGGGGCACCGCCAGCATTTCTCGTCTCTATGGGCCCAGTAATAAAAGCTAGAGAGACACCTTGACTTTAGCATGCTCTTTTTCACTTTATTTGCTTTCCAAAGCAAATGAGTTTACCTTCCGCAGGTTTTGGTTTTATAGGAGCCGTAAGAAGAGTGTTAAGTGTGACTGAAGACATTATCTAACTTTATGGCCTGTTGTGAAGCATCAACTCAGTCGGAGAGCTCTGCTGTTCCTTTCTGAAATGACACTGGTATGTAAATTCCTCTCTAACCCCTATCATGCATGTTTGTTAGTGCCGCATTTAGAGTGCTTGCCACTGTACTTTGCACAGATGCTTTTATGGCTGCTGACTGGTTTGGGGTCTTTTTATATGTCTAAATCAATTTAGCATTCCAAAAAGAAGAAACAGACATCTCAAGCAGCTTTAAAGATGCTAAGCCAGCATTTGCTTTCTAAACTGAATGCTTCCCTAGAGGCACGTGTCAACTCTGCTTTGTTCCATCTCATAAATTTAACCTAGCAAGGCAAATATAGTTAATTCAGCTTGTTAATTTACTTATTTTTAATGGATGAATCCATTTAACGGCAAAATACAGATAATAAATCATTAGAGCTTTTGTTTTCTTTTGTTTATAATATCCCAGGATTTAAAAATTACACAAGAAAAAGACAATATTTTTGGCTGGAGAAAAAGATTTATTTATTTTAGTTCTCTTATTTCTGAAAATAATTTTGTTAGGACCATCTGAGTAGGTGGGGGAAAGAACTAAAGGATCTATATTTTATGAACAAGATTGAACTTGCTGCATTCTGCTCTTTGGGAGTGGGAGTTATTACAAACAGCTGTTACAGAAAATGTTGAATTTTAATTAAAAATATTATTTATTAAAGCGTCTCTATTTTATTTCACAGACCTTATTTCCGTTCAAACCACGACACACTGCAAAATGGATAACATGCTCAGAGCCTGTGCAAAAAAGCAGATGTTGGGAAGCAGAGTGTGGAGCTTTAGTGCAAATTGAGGGAGGCACAGGGGAATTGTCCTGAGAGGTACAGATCTCCATGCGGCTTGGTAAAGTGCTTAAAACCCATAGAAGTAAAACCAGAACAAAATTTGGCTCACCAAAACTGTTGGTTATGCCATTAAAAAAAAGCTCTGTTTTTCCTTATGTTTCATTTATCATTCTATCATCATTCTATGCTATCAGAAAACAACACAACCAATATGATCTAGAAGAGCATTTTAATCACATGCTTACTATCTAGCGCAAAAGTATCTCAATGTTGACCACAGAATTTGTATCAATATCCACATGCAGCCATAGTTTGCTTATTTCTCTAAAATTAACCTAGAGAGCTGGCAGGCTGGTTAAACATAGATGTTACTTGCCAAGCTATAGAACAATAAAAGGCTGACCACAGAATAAATCTGAATTCATGATGTGGTTTTCCTGGTTGACCACTGGATAACTGAATCTAGATGAATAATAGTTAACCACCAAGGGACTAAGATTTGATACAGAATTTGCTGGAGTTTGTTACACTGAGATCTGACACGCTAACCTTTGTGATTGTGGGGGGTGTTAATTGTCCCACATTGTATCAATTAACATAATCTCTTCTTTCCAGCACTCATGGCTACATAATGCCTTGTAAAGTGATACTAGATCAGTCAGATTCTCTTGGGGTTTTTTCCCTTCTATCACTAAATAATAATAATTACTTCCCTTTCCTGTTTAATGAAACTCAATACTTCCATAAGAAAGTCAGTGTGACAGGAAAAGGGGCATAACAGAGAAGAAAGTTCATCCCAGAAAGTGATTATGGAAGTGACATTAATCATGCTGGGTAGAGATGGGCTGTGTCAGTACTTGCATTCAACTTACAGGAGGGAATGAAAAACTGATAGTTGAAATAAAGATTTCTAAGCTCCCACATCTTGATTCATAGTAAATTAGGCTTCCCTATGTAATAATGATATAAATTTACTATTAAAGTGCTGACTTTAACGGTGAGGGAATATAGCATGGTCTATTTTTTCCGTCACTTCCTGAAAACTTGCATTCTTGCACAGCCTGATTGATAGCTCCAGTATAAAAAAGGGCCAAAGTTCTGTATTTTCTGCATCAACTGAATAAATTTACTGTTTAGCCCTCCCATGCTGAACCCCATGAGAAATCCCTTCACTAATAACTCGGTAAGGGTTGGCAGGACCACCTGCAGATAGAAGAGAATATTCAGAAAGGTTTATGTAAACTTGATGTCACAGAGGAGCAGGCAAAATAGGTGTGTAGTCTTTTTCTTTCACATTTTTAAATTTAAAAAATATAGACATTTAAAAATAAGGAATATAAAGAGACAGAGTTCATATTGTCAGCTTTGAATTAGGTGGCAGGGATCACTATTCATTGGATGACCAGCTTGTAAGGACAATGGATCTTAACACTACTTGTCTAAATCTGTCAATAATCTAGCCAGGCACTGCAGAAAAGATATCATTCTCACCTGACTCAGAATTCGACCACATTTCTTTCCAATTTTTTCCACCAAATCAAAGATTGGGAAGTTCCAACTATTTAGCTGTTCCATCAGGGGATCCAAGTTGTCCATAACCAGAGGCTCAGGAGCCAGTACAGGTTTGTCCTATGGCAAAAATCAGAATAAAGAGGAATTTTAGTTCTGTGAAGCATCTCATACAAAAATTTATGCTTTTAAAAAACAAGGCCACATTAGCATGATCTGTAAGTCGATGTGACTCTACTCAGCTCAGTGGAAATGTCCCCATTTCTACCACCCCTGCAGCTAGTCACTCTGCTTTATAATTTGTTTCACTTGAATGAATAGGAAATTCTGTGTATGAAACATCAGTCTCTGAACTTATCCATGAGACACATTCATTCATTCAGGGAAATCATTCATTCATTTCCAAGGGAGTCAGTCTTCTTCATTGTAAAATTTACTGCAGTACAGAGGGAAAAGTGGTCAGTTTCTACTTCCACATCATGACCCATTCATTACAATCTAACATGGCTAAGGGAGTTCAGTCCATGTGAAATTTTGTATTTCTCAAACTGAAACCTACCTATTTTTCAAGGTCTGAAAATACAAGATGGGTTCTGCCCTCCTTTCACCCTGCATACTTCCTTGAATTTCATTATTACTAAGAAACTGTAGATGAGTAAATGCCAAAATATCTCAAAAAAATGCCTTCTCTCAGCATGTCCAGCTCCAATTCAACAGATTACAATAAATTTTTCAAGAGCTCATGACACCTTAAATTTATTAATTCAGTTGTACATTAGGATGTGGAAATTTAATTAAACAAAGCTTTCCCTCTCATCTTACTCAAGTTTACAGCTGAATACAGTAGTCGTGAGAAGGTCAGCACTTGTTCATCATACTGCACTATTCTTATGTTCAAGACATACACTGACAATAGTATCATGCAGCACCCTCACACAACTGTTGGTTTATTTGAAAATAAGGACCACTGTATATATTAGCCAAGATTGCAAGGCCATTTAGAAGCTGAAGTGGCTGAACTGGAAGACTATATACATATATATATATATATATATATATATATATATATCATGCTGGTAGTCTGAGAAGATAATTTCTCTTCCTTCCAACCCATTCCCTTTAAAGGCAATGCTAACACAGAAGCCAAACATTTCAGAAATGACTTACGCCAGATTCATAAACTTATATTTATTCATCAAAATAGATGGTCAGTGTTTCACAAGTGGTCAGTGCTTAGCAGCTCTCACACATTTCAATGGTTCCTTTCAATTCTTGAAAGTCAACCCTCCTACTGCAAGGTAGAAGCCTGCTGCAATTGTTGCTTAAAACTGTGGTCACAATCTTTAGACAGCCCTAGGGTTTTTTTTGTGGGGGTTTGGGCTTTTTGGTTGTTTGCTCTGTTTTCTTCCCCTGTGTTAGCATACACTCAGTCTGCTCTGCAAGTGGAACTTAAACAAGCTACCTCAGGTGGTATCAAGGGATGCAGAATGATGGTCTCAGGCGTGTACGTCCTACAGACGGATCCCTTCCTCTTCTGCTCTTTGGAGCAATCTGTTTCATCATCATTTTGTACAATATCGCTGCTATCGCTGTTGTTGGTCTCATAGTCAGAAGTGGCTTGCGCAGGATCATCTACAACACAAATTACAAATCTTCTTGTGTGAACAGCAAGGATTGCATGAAAGTCATCCTGTGACCTTCTGAATAATAGCAACAGGATCTCTGACTCATAATACATATGTGCTGCTTGGCTGGGTCCAAAGTCGGACAATCTGTCCAAAGGCATTAAAACATATACCCTGCAGAGTGTAAAAAATGGGATCAGGGATTGAAGAGTGAGAGAAATTTTGAATACCATTATTTGAGTTGACTAGGTTAGATGAAGGAAACAGTATTTCCTTTATATTTTAACTCTATTCTTCATTATCATTTTGCACATGTTGTACATACAAAATGGAAAGAGCCTCAAAGACAATTTGTATGGTCTCACCTCCATATATACTCCTTTTATGACAGACAAGCATATCTGCCCTTTCAGTGAATGACTATTTAATTTTAAGGGATGAGGAGATTTTGATGGACAAAGAATTACCTGCTCTGTTCAGGGTGTGTGTGTTACCATCGTTTCTATCTAGTGTCCCATCACCAGCTTCTATTTGGTTATAGGGTCTGCCACAGCTGAAATACATCAAGAAATATGCTCAATATAAAGAACCATGCACATTAGACAGTCTTATGTAAAATGATTTCCTGCTGATACTGTAAAATTGTTATACGGTATAAGCTATGGTACAGGGTGCATTCTCCAAACAAAATTACAGGAGTGAGTTGAAGTTTTATTGAAAATCAGGGATTTAAAAACACAGAAATACAGAAGGACCTTGGATTAATTGGTTGCCACTATTAAGTTTGTATTGCCAACAGTAAACCTATATTATGTGACTATGTGACTTTTTTTTTTTAATTAATTTTTTATTCTATAAATCAGTATAAAATTCCCCTGGTTTTGTACTACATTTGCCTTAAAAACATGAATTAAAATTATGAAAATGTGCCAGAGTGCCATCAAATCTTACATAATTCAATTTGAACGCAGTCATGATGAGGCTTTACTCTCCTTTTCTTGCTTAGAACTTGAGTATGTTCCTCTTAAGGAGGAAAAGGATATTTTGCCATTACTGTAGTGACAACCTACCAAGTACATCGGAACCAAGGGGGTGTTTTGGACAGAACATGAGGTGAGTGATCTGGTATCCAGACATTTAGCAATGAAACTAGAAGACAGAGTTTGCTCCATCATTCCCAGAACACAAAGACATTGTGGGAGGGATCTTTCCAAATGACTGGCTTTTCCGTCCCATTAAAATGCTGCATTCCTTGAGTGTGATTCGCTTTAAGCCCTAAATGTCAATTCAGTACCAACTGGAACATCTCAAATTACAATGTCCCAATATAACTGAGTCCAGGATCTGAAGGAACAATGATATATCATGAAAACATAAGAGAATTTAACAAATCTGAAGCCTCGTCTAGCAACATTATATCAAATCTGTCTATGACAAACTGCCATTTTAACATTCCTTTCTCTGTTTTGAGCCAGTATTTTGTGGCATACCTCATACATAACAGCCTTTGCAAAGCAACTATTACAAAATTGTTTTGATTGGTCAAACTTTGTATTAGAAACTTTGCACCAATATAAGTTCACCATATAAAAATGACTGATGCCAGATGGCTTTTGACGAGGTCATTGAAAACATATTCTGGAGCTTGATATCACCTGCAAACATAATGAATTCCTGAAATAATTTTAAATAAAAACACAAATCTGCATACAATGATAGTTGTAGTACATAGCCAAGACAACAAATCTTGTACCACTCAGGTTTATAAACAAGGTGAAAAAATATATTAATTTCTCTATCCCACATTCCTTGTGGTTTCCATAAGGTCAATGCTAACAAGCCAAAATGTAAAAGTAAAAGAGAAAGAGAGCCTTTGATTGGTTGTAATGCTACAAGGCTTTTGTGTCATTATGAGTGTACCTCTATTTCCAGAACACATGCAAACTCACACTGATTTAAAATGTATGATCCACATGAAACACTATGTTAAAAAAAAATTACTGAGCTACCTTCTAGAACACTTGAAATCTACTCTATGTCAGAAGTAAACGTGCCCATGCAACTTTAAATCAAGCCCCTTCATGTACAGGCATTATAATATACTTCTTAATCACAGGATTGTTTAACATCTTTTCCACAGGATTCCTGCCTCATCCAAGAAGCAGAATTAAAAATTATTACTTACAAGTTATTTTAACAGCATTGTCTGGTATATATTCTTGTTTAATGTAGTTTTCAAACTCTGCTGTCCTAACACATTTCACTTCGTAAGTACAAAAAAATACAGTAAAACTACGGTCTTGATGCCACTGCCTGGGTGGATTTGATTTAAAGCACTGAACCCATCAAGAGTTCATTTCCTCTTTTGTTGTTGTTGGGAGAGGGATTGGTTTGGTGGTGGCAGAGGTTTGCTGACTTGCTGTTATTTCCTAGCAAGGCAGTTTTTTTGGCAGTAAATGTAGTGGATTGCATACCATGAAGACTAGCAATCTACAGTGTGAAAGCTCAAACATTAAAAGATTTATTTCCAGTGTTTGTTAATTTAACTCTCTCAGCTTGTCTTAGCCATTTAATTTTTGTTGTTGTTTTTTTTGTTTGTTTGTTTTTGTTTTTTTTTTTTTTATTTGTGTTTACATTACTAAGGGGTGCATTATTTCTATACTGTTGTTTCAGCTCGTAGCTGTGCATATGACATCTCTGTATACCAATGGCTAGAAGTGTGACACTGCTTATGATTTTTCAGTGGACATTAAAGGAACAGTGACTATTAATAACAGTGGATGCCAATTCTATTAGCAGTCATAACACCACAATATTTTAAATATGTTTTAAAATAATGTGTTTGCTCCAACAAATCAACAAAGTCTATGACAGCGGTGTAACTATTTGTAATGCTTACACAGTCTGAACATTTGAAAACAAGGAAATTAAGAACTTAAATATGCTATGCAACCTACATAGATCACATAAGACAGTAGTCACATAACAGCTAATGAGCATTTTACCAATGATTACATTGAAATCAAAGTCTACGCCTATCAAGAAAGTATATTTTATTACTACCTACAACGATCTTACATTGATAAATTTTTTTGGATGTTTTTTATGCAATTTTTAACTGTTCTCATTAATAGAAGGTTTCCAATCACAGTTGTTACTAGTTAAAGCAATATTTTGTTGAAATAGTAATAAAGGCACAGTTTAATCAGACAGTAGCATGTTTATGGTATATTTCTTATATGTAATATAGTTTTCATTTTAAATGAATCAGCACAAGTCCCAGTTTTGCAATAATTTTGGAAAACTTTTAAAAGCACGTAGTTTTTATTTAGTCACCTAAATATTTCTTAAAAGCCTGTCAGGATCCTGGTCTGAGCTCCAGTGAGGATGACTCCCTTGAGCAAACTTGCAATCTCAATTTTGACATTCTCCCACCTACTTCCAAGCCCTGCACACATACAAGACACATTAAAAGTCACGTGACTGCAGCCAGAAATGAAAACCTATTTCCAAAGATAGTCAATCTTGAAAACATTTAACCCAGACTCAGATGACATGCTGTCCACTAGCTAGCCAGTAATCACAAATCACTCACTATGATGATCAAAAGTAACATCTAATGAGTAAGATAACCTTGAAACTGCACTGGAACAGCCTTCTAGGTACCAGTGTTTCCCACTATTCTGAACTGGACACATATTGCAAACTCCAGTAATCTAACTTGACAACTGAATGGTTTTTGAGAAGACAAACAGAACAACTTTCCAAAATGCTGACTCTGCAGAGCAGGTCTGCTTAATCTAAGAATGGCCTACTTTAAAGTGTGAATTTAACTGTGTTACTGTAACTCTTAGCTGCAGAAAGAACTCGGCTGCAGTTGATTTCTGAAAAAAAACCCAATGCTACATAATCTGACTCTGCCTAAGGAGGACAGGATCCACTCCTGAGAGAGTGCTCAAAATTACACACTCCTCAGCACAGTTGGCACACCTTTATCAGAAGGCTACAGGCCAGCAGCTTTTAAACTCTAGCAGTCAGATTCTTCTATCAAACATTAGGTGTCAGCTGTGAAAGACTTGGCCTGTGACCTGAAAGTGACTGTTCATGTTAAGGGTGTAGAGTGAGAGACAGAAGTTGTTAACACGAAATCCAACTTTGGGATCTCCAAGTTATTGACAAAGAATTTATTTATGAATCTGACATGAGTAAAAGCTATAAATGTAGCTAACCGCCTTGCACTTTGAAAGCACTTTATAGCATCAGTCTACATAACTACTCATATACTAAGAACCGCTTAGATATGGTAAAATATCAATACACAATACCACAGCAAATCACAAAATCTTTCATATGGGCCAAAAACTGGTTTGCAAGAACAACATGAAATGATTCCAACGCATGTCAAATTACTATCTTACCTGCTGCAGATGACAGAAGGGCTGATAATAGAGTCTGACAGAGCAGGTGCACTCTGAGTAGAAGTTAAGACTTTGTGTGGCTTTAAGCCTTGCTTGCTGTCAATATCTGTAGAGTCTGGAAATGACACAGAAGATGTTTTTCCAGTAGGACTTGTGGCAGGTGTCCCCTGAATCGGTGAATGGCATGGGGAGGTGAGAGGTGAAATATTTGGCGGGATACCTGGCAAGAGAAAAAAAGTCTTGTCAATTAACAGAAGTGGCAGATGGTTGTATAAATTCACTGTGCAGAAATACTCCCCTTGAGATGCTCAGGTACCAGCATAGCTTCCAAACAGAAAAATAAGAGAAACCCCTTATCCACTCTGAGCCAAGCCCGTGGCTATCACAGAGAGATGGAGCTCCATTATTATCAACCACTTCTACCTGTTGGAGATCTGACTCAAAATATAAAGCATATTCTCCCTCTGGAGCAGGATGCACTAACTGGCAGGCATGAAATGAAAGGCATGCATTAGTGGCATGACTACTGGTATCAAGATGTTCTAGTGACAGACACACCAAACTCCAAACAGGCAGTTCCCAGACTCATCTGCAGTTTCTCTTTGCTTCACTGTCTCCATATGTAAAGCAGAGACATGAAAGGCTTACATACACTCCCAGTAATTTTGAATTTCTACATGTGTGAAGACTAGCAATAAACAAAAAAAAAGCAATTTTTTGTAGTCATACCTTATATGAATATAAAACATTGCACTTATGGTGCCATTTCCACATTCCTCACAGATTTTGGCCTTGATCTTGTGCAGCTTGAGTTTATTATTCAATATCTGTTGCTCACTATGGGACACTTGCGACCATTACTTGTACCACATGGTATTGTATTCCTGAGCTAGTGTAACAGAAACTGCCAATATCCACGTGTGTGAACACTAGCAAAATGTAGTTCTCTCTGTCCCTTATTCTATCTAAGCACCACTGCCAAGATGAAATGCATCAGCCAGTCCAGTGTGTGAGACAATCTGATGCCTTCTCTTTGAATCCACTTCATGTTTTCTAGTCTCAGACAAAAAGGTCCCAGTCACAATAAAGCACAGAGTAGCAAACATAATCTATCTTAAAAGGAAATGCATGTAAATTAATTTACCTCCTCTTCTAAAGTTTGTAGGAACTCAGCCCCAGTTCACTTATGATGTTCATCTTCAAAGCCAAATAATATAAAGACCTTGGGAACTTTAACTGTTTTTATGTGTGAACTGTGCCCACTATCTAAATGCATTCCAGACACAAAATTTACCTTAGAATAAAGCAATATGTTGATCTAAGTTTATGAAATACTAACGTTGCAGGATATATGTGTACTGTTCCAGTATTTTTTCCTGATAAAAGCCTACTGTGATACGAGGTTAAAATATTATTTACTGTTGACAATTCAAGAGTTAAAAATAATCTCTGACAGTTATTACAGTGCAATTTTGAGATATCCATCTGTGAAGTTTTGATTAGGGTATTTCTTCATCAAACATGTGGTATGCATTACTGTCTTAATGGTTCCAACTAGGATATTACATTAGCCTTGAGATCAGAAACCTGCAGCCTACAGAGCAATTAAAAAGTTATCAGATGGCCATGACATATAGAAATTGCTTTAAAATACAGAAAGCCTCTGTTTCACATTTACTTATCCTCTGAGATATCTGCTTTCCATCCAACACAGATATGTCTTTGAAAACACTTCACAGTCTGTTAGTTGCACAGGGGATTGAATTGGATTATTATGTATCTTTGAGCTATATGTTACCTGGTAATATTAATGACTGTTAGAGAATACAATATATATGGTTATCTTTCAACAATTTAAAGCAAGTCCTGGGAATTTAAACAGCAATTTTCACAATAATGTTTCTAATCACAGCTGGCTTTCTATTGCTAGTCTGGGTTCCTGTCTCTTGAAATATGTTTGGTTGTATGGTGTTTTTTTTTTTAAGAATAATTTGCCAGGGTAGGTAACAAAAATAAATACATTCACCAGAAAAATTAAAACCTATTTTAAATAATCCAACATTTAACTATTTATTGGCAAAAGTGAGAGAAAGCATGTCTTGCTACAGTAAGGAATTCTGAATATTCAAGATAAGAGAAAAATAACATTAGAGGGAGAATTTTTTGAAGTACAACCTTCTGCTTAGGTCCTTCAGAACTTTTACACATGTGCAACATTGAAGAAATAAAACAGTAACTTCAATGTGATGTGAAATTACGTATGAAAACACTTGAGTTGACCCCAGAATTTTGCTAAAATAAGTATAGCTAGCAGTATTTTAAAATCCTAGTGTCTTCATGTCTAATTAAAGACACATTTTGTAAATTAACAGATTTACAGATTTATCTAGATCAGTATCTACTAAGAACTATTATATATTGCCAATGGAGCTAATATACAAAAGTCTAATTTGCATTAATTAGAGCAAATTGAAACAATTCTTTATTTGGAAAACAAAAACAAATCATAATTAAAAATGCATGATTGTAAGCAGTCTAAAACATCAAAATATTGATCTTCTGCATAAAATGATGAGCCAAAATTCTTACTCCTGTCAATCAGTGTCCCTAGGAATTGCTTGTGATGGAATGGAGATCTCCCTTCATTACAGGAGAGCTCATGTGTTTGGGCAATAGAGATGACTATTGACACTTTCTGGAAGCAGAACAGACTAAATGTAAAACTAACTGATGGGGTTGATAAATCTTGTTTCCCAAGTATAAAATATTATACATCCCTCCTCCCCCCCATTTTCAAGTTGATGGGTTAATCTCTGAAAATCAGAAGTCTAGGCAGGATTTGTTTTGTTCTAAAAAAAATTCCTTGATTTTTGGCACTGTATCTCCACTATTTTCCAAGTTCTATCTTATTATTTTGCTTATGTGCCTATTACCTTTTAAGATAGTATTGTGTTACTTAATCTTCACTGTGTTATAACAAAACACCTTCTGTACAAGAGGATATTAAATAAACTTCAGTTTGAAAAGGAGATGTGATGTGACAGTGCTGGATATGCAGAATAATTGTGCAGATGTATCTTCAAACCCATCTCTAAGTTAGGATTCTCTGACTTACCCGATGTCAGGCCTCAGGCATCTATCAATTTCCATCTGATGTCTGAGTGGCTACTATCTCTGAGTAACATTATCTCAACATCATTCCACGTTTGGAAAAAAACCAGGCTGATTTATAAAAGGAAGGCCTTGTGATCATTTTGAATTGCAAGTTAAAGCATGGGTAAGCTTTAACTCCTGCATTTGTACAGGGAAGAGAACCACATTACTACCGATTAAGACTGCTTCATGGCTGCCATACTGCACATTTCATTATCAATTAAGAAGCCACCTTCTCAATTTCTTTCACCCAGTTAAAGCAGGAGTCATTTTTTTAAAGGCCCAAAAAGCTTAGTAAAACACCCCGTATTTCTCATCTCTAAAAATCAGTAAGAACTACCTGGACTTCTGAGTTATAATGGCTTTGTCTTGGATATGTTTGCATAAAATGGGTCGGTTGCTGCCTACAGTCCTGAATGGCATTATGTATGCTGTGCTTCAAGAAATCTGAGTCAGGCAATATATACAGACAGTTAATCTAACAGACATTGTAGGAAACACTTTGTTCTCAGCCCTGTTGTAGTTAAGGGAATTCCACGGATATAAATCACAACATGATTTGGTATCACACTTGCCACATCATGTCATGACTAACCTCTATAAATCATAAAAGTCAAAACATTTACAACAGCATCACTATAAGCTATAGTATTTAAAGCCACTGCTTTTTTTTTAAATAAAGGAAATAACTATATTAATCAAAAAATATGAGAAGACACAGATTGCACAGAGATCAAAAGCAGCTGCACGTGCTAGTCGCAGGGAAGCAGCTGAGCCTGACAGAGCCACAGATGCCCACTCACCTTGCCGGCTCTGCCTTTTGGCATTCAGGTGGTTGGTAGAAGACATGGCATAGGAGGTCGAGAAGGACCTGCTCTTCGTGATTGTCATCAGAATTGAGCTGTTCCAGGAGTCAGTGCTGCAAAACCAGAGTGCAAACAAGCATCATTCAACACAGTAAAAAGCTTCAACAGTAAGTAGATCTTAAGAAGTCAGAAGCCACCGCAAGAAGTTTGCGATACTGAGATAGCACAAAATCGGATGAGAAAAACAGCATCTATGTGTTGGCTGAACTGCTATCTGTAAGGCACTCAGTAGTGTATTCAGCAAAAATATTTACAATGCAGAAACTCCAAAGCTGGACTTCCTTCAGTGCTGAGGACTATTCACTTTATTTATGCAAAGAAGTCTTCACTATATTGTTCTGACAGTACAAAGAGGCTTAAAAGTTGACTTGAAATAAGTTAAATTTATACTCTCTTTTAGTGCCTCCTTACAAGAGCCAGAAGTGCCAGTAGCTCTCTGTGTAAATGAAAAATCAGTCTCCTTGACTCCTCTGCTGCAACCGCCAAGGCAGATACCCAGTAAGCCTTTGGGCACTGGAGGAGCTCCTCAGGAGGCTGGGAGAGGCTCGGAAGAGCCCTGTATTGCTGTTGGTAGTGGTGTGCCTCTTCTCTGGGTGAAGCACTTCATGCTCTAGCCAACTGAAACGCATGCTTCATCTGAAAAAAAAAACCCTACTGACATCCCTGAAGACATTTGTCACTGATCCAAGAGAAACTCACTGAAGGAAAACAGGGTGCATGTGTGTCTATGTGTGGGGAACAAATGCCAGTCCCCTACAACAGGATGGGTGCATGCTTCAGCCTGCAGGCTATAACTGTGTACCAGAAGAGGCCAAATACTTCTGTAAAGCAAGAGAATTGTATTTTTCATTGTTTTCCCAAATGACATTCATAAAATGTCAGCTGCTTGCAGGGGTGTAGCACTGGCTCTTTATCATGAGGCCTATGACCTCTCTGGACAGATCTGCAAGGTCTCTCAGGCTCCACACTTCTCCTCATAGCCTCACATCCAAGAGATGAGATGACGTGCAAGGCAGAAGATAGCCTTTTAAAGCAGCCTAGTCCCAGCTAAAATTGAAAAAAAACTTGAAAAAAACCCAAAAAAGTATTCTGAAATAAAAAAGCATGTGACATTGTCTTAACTCTACAAAAAACTTATTGTTTTGGAAGAACAAGCACTACCTACAAAAATATTTGCTAGTTGTATTCACTGGCCCAAATTCCTATAATCCCTGATGAAGTAAGATGAAGAAAGAATCCAGCTGTTTAATTTTTTTTTGTTTGTTTGTTTTCTACTGTGGTTTTGTTTTTTAATTAACAGGAAGAATATAACACACTGGCCCACTGTAAAGACCAAACCAAAACCAAAACAAAAAACCCTAAACCACATTCTTTGACTACTTAAGGGAGAACCATTGGATAAGAAGTGACTGAGGGAAGGAACTGGAAGCTCTATTATTTTTTCCAAATCATTTGAAGCTATAAGAGGACCATGTTTTACCAGTTTAGTGACATGCGGTTGGAAGAATACAGGATCAGTAATCTTAAATAGAGATTTAAGGGGGATTTTTGCAAATATGCTGACTACAGAAATCTAGAGGTGATGTCCCAGACTGTGAGGAACAAGTTGCAGATTTTGTAACTTCAAAATCTGCCACAAGGTAATTCCAGTATCACTTCCCCTCTCCTACCCTTCAAGTCATGAAATGTTTCTTTCTCTGTGACCTGTCCACGCTTGAATTTGGTACAGGGGAAGTGGCAGATAATCAAGAGGGTTTTTTTTTCCCTTCAGTTCAAAATTCTTTTCCTTGAAAGTAAATCTGTATTGGTCTGCCAAAATTTTTAAAGCTAGACTTATAGGATTAATTTTTCCCCTTTCTGAAATACACATTGTTTCTCCTACTGTAAAAGACGAACTGCAAACAGTAGGCTGGGAGGCTTGACAGAACTATAATTATACAATTGGCGACATTAAATGTAGGAAGAATTGATAGCCTGCTTAGTTGGCTCATCATGCAGAGTTATGTAACAACCATAGAAAAGGACCAACAATAATATTTAATTGCTCTCCTCTCTGATTCCCATCTTAGGATGCTTACATACTACGTGAAAGTCTGAGATCAACAGTATAAATCAAATGCACCCTGGGAACCATAGGCCAGTGACTGAAGAACATTTCCATTTGGTTATAGCTTCTCTGTATTTACTTTTACTGAGATACATGGGACTCCTCACAAAGGGAACTTTGGCTAACCATGTATTTTTCTTGCACCATTCAGTGTACTCTGCAGGCTGTCTTGAGCACCTAGGTGTCCTACACACTTTCCTCTATGGGAAAGGTTTATGTACCGGGAAGAAAGGCTGACCAAGGCAGCTCTCTGGGGCTGCATTCACCCAAGCTATACAGCAGCAAACACTGGTGATGTTGGGCCTTTTCAGGTCCTATCTTTTTCTCCACTACTGACACCAAATTTTGAATCACAGAAAAACGCGTGAGTCTTCTAATATCACAGCTCTAAATTCTTGAATTTGGTGCTTTTGTTTTGCTCTTCCTTTCCCTACAGCAAAGCATGTCTCCACACTCTCTCCTCATCCACCAACTCCAAGATGATAGCCCTTGCTGAGTGGACCTGAACTTTATTCTCACAGAGTGGCACCATAATTACTACCAGGCTGCACGACTGACTGCCTTCTGCCCTTCCTTTGAAGGCTCTGCTCCTTTCTGACTAGAATAGAGAAATACTAATGGGGCCAGAAAGGAGGAAATTCTGTTGAAGTAGCTACACAATGTATCATAGTTAACAGCACCTGGGACCCAAGCCTCTCTCTCTCCTCACAGATGAAAGCCCTTCCCACAAGGCTAACATCCATTCAACTCCCTCTTTCACTGGCTGCTACTGGATTATCTGTTGCAGCCCTTGTGGAGGGTTAAACACAGCCCACCTCCAGCTACCTGGTATCATGAATGTCCCAAAATGCAGGGTACCTAGGTCTGAATGCTCTCAGGCAGAGAAGCAACTTTATTAGGGTATTCCTCTGCAAATGCACTAAACCAGTCAGCTGCCAGATGTAAGCAGCTGAGCAGAAACAATTTCTCTCTCTCCATTTCATGGGAGGACTATGTATTTTATGATACTGGCTCAGGGATCAGGCCCTGAGAAAAAGAGAATGGGTAAGAGTGACATGGGAATACCCAACTGACATAGTCAGTCAGGAGGGACTAAAGCCGTAAGATAAAACCCCATCTCCTCAGAATAGTGAGAACTAGTGTGCTTCTGGGTAACTCTGAAAGACTTTCAGGACGTGCTTTAGGAAACTGGAACTAAATTTTGAGTTGGGTACAAAATGGAGTAGGTAGGTACTTCAGCCTATGCAAATCTCTTTGTGGATCTAGTGCTCTGTTTCTATGATGCACTATATGAACATAACATTAAAGTGTATGTGTCATGATTGAATCCAGAACTCTTTTGCCAAGAAAGACATAATAATGTACAATTTCTTCTGTGATTTTGCTGAAATTCATCTCAAGGCTTTATTAATTATTGCTTTGTAGTTGCGACTGTTCCAGTACCAGCACCTGCTTAACAGAACCCTTAAAAATATGGCACATCTTAAATGAGTAAATAAATAAATGAATCAAACAGAAGTGGGCATTCAATCTGAACCCCAACAAAACAGCTGTGTGTATTTGCTTCTTGTGGCAAATTAGGAAAAGCCTTTCAACTAGATGAGACAGTTGAAATTCTGAATCCCAGAAGATAAACTCTGTGGTCAATGGGAAAGAAGTGTGCCACTGCAGTGCTTAAAATTAGGGATAGCAGAGCAACCACCCTGCAAGAAACTTTACACTGCCCATTTAATTTTCAGCTTTGCTTTCAACCTCTACTAGCAAATCTTCCTTTGTAATTTTATACCTAGATCTTTTATTTTTTTTCCCCACTGGTAACAAATCTGCTTTCTTATCTTCACTAAATCACTTTTTGAGTTATCTAACTGAATGGTATTTATTTACCATCTATTGATGGTATTGCATTTGCCTAAGTTCATTCAGGGAGCCCTAAGCAGTTATATTCTGGAACTAAGTCCATACATAGGATGCAGGGCATGCACAGTGCTGTATGGTCTGATGATACTCCATATCTATGTACAGAAAACCATAAAACTGTGTATTCTAGGAGGGTCCACTTAAAATGAGGGTTTATGTTGTGGAAATTAGTATCTAGAGGATGGAGAAGTCTTTTATGAACTGGTTTAATGACAGGACCACATCATTAGGTATGTTCTTAGAAGTGATGTTCAGCAGCTGGGTTACTTCTTAGAATTTTTCCTTGGCTGAGCAATACCCATGGAGGAAACTGCTGCATATCAAGATTTAAACCAGCTATCTTGCCTTGTTTCCAATTTTATTGTGCAATTCTGCACTTTGCCTGCATAAACAGATTTCTTTTTCATTCTGCTTCCTAATAATAGGCATAGTTTTGGCATAATCTGACTAAAATTTGGAATGTCACTTCTTTGGCAGCCCAATTTAGAGAAACATGAAGAAGTAGTTCTAAGACACTTTGAATTCAGCATTTTTAAATGAGGGACATCATCACACAGAACCAAAGAAATTTGCCCAAAGGGAGACATAAAAGAGAGAGGAGGCAATCTGTAACCTGGACGAAGATGATTCATGAGGTTTGATGCTGGCACTGCGATCCCTTCTCACTGGAGCTGGCTCCAGTGTAGGTAATCCTGTGGCTGATGTTGTTGTGGTCCAAGTTGAGGACACTCGTCTCAGCAGTCCTGGAGGCAAACTTCTCCGTAAGCGCTAGAGAGGAATCAGTTGCTTAGAGTTTATACAGGCTTACAAAAACATGCAGAAGAAAAACATTTCCATTTGATAAATTCTGCCTGACAACACCTAGTAAGGTACCTTAAATCTGTATTTTCCCAGATATTATGGTGCCCATCTTCTATTCAAATCAATACAGCTGGTGCTTTAAATGCTTGGAGGATCTGGACCATCCTCCCTATTTCAAGTTTAAAGAAAGATATATATATATATGTACAGCCCCATAGCCACAGATTTTGAACACGTGAAGCTCCCACTGAAGTCAGCCAATGTTGGTCGTGATCTTTAAAAATTTTGGTCTTATATGATGTGGCCAAAGGCACTTAAGCAAGTCATCAGGGCCACAAAGGTGACAGTGATTGGAGCATCTGTCATAAAATGAAAGGCTGAGAGAGCTGGGATTGCTCAGCCTGAAGAGAAGGCTCAGGGGAGATCTTACCAATGTGTACAAATACCTGAAGGTAGGGAGTTCAAAAAGATGGAGCCAGGTTCTTTCTAGTGGTGTCCAGTGACAGGACAAGGGGCAACAGTGCACAAATTGAAATACAAGAAATTCCATTTAAATGTAAGAAAATATTTTTTACTGTGAGGATGTTTGAACACTGAAAGAGGTTGCCCATAAAGCCTGTGGAGTCTACATCCATGGAGATACTCAAAACCCAACTGGACATCCTCCTGAATGACCTGCTCTAGGTTGAGCCTAGTGAAACCTGCTCCAGGGTCAACTTTCTTGAGCTGTGGGACTGGACTAGATGATCTCTGGATTGGACTAGATGATCTCCAGAAGCACTTTCAACCTCAACCATTCTGTGATTTAAACTGTCATGAGTGCTTAGAATCAGAGATTCAAGGCAAGAAAGGCTATAGGAAAAATAAAGGAGGGGAGCTCCAGCTTGTTTTCCTGCTGTATCTATCCAATCCAAAGATCACCCACTGAAATAAAACTTTAATGATCTGGGATGTAATGTCTCCTGAAAAGCTTAGGGAAAGCATCACTGTTTGCAGCAGATTTTTCTTGACCACCCTGCATTTTTCTTTCACCCGACTCTTCCTTTTCTCCATGGACAGGACTCATATTGTTTTTCCAACTTTTTGAAGGCAGAGAGAATAAAAGATGATGGCAGAGAATCTTTGCGGATCCAGATTTGCTGTGGCAGATGCTATAATTTTGTAAGATGTCTCTCTTGTAGTTCTCGTGAAGTGTTTATAGTTAAGAACTAAAATAAATATGTCTCTGTGCTGGAGAGCTTTGACTTTGTCAGAGGGTTAAGAGATATGAGGTAGAAGACACTTGTGGTTCTGAAGCTCAGACTTACAGATAAATATGTTAACATACTACCTCTTTACCCAAAATGCTCAGTGTCAGATGCTTAAGGACACGAAATCTATATTTAGACACTTAAATAAAGGACTGCAAGCTATTAGTTTTATGAACCATAATACATTTTGGCCAGTGAATTCTTCAGTCAAATTAGTTCTCTGTAGCATTAACTCATTTCTTCATCCTTCATTTCTCCTCAGTAGGTATTATGCAACAGCAAACTGGTATCTGTTCACTGTGCTTGCTCATGTGATGGCAGTGTTCTTCCACTTAACTTTTCCCCTCAGAGCCTAGAGTACAGCCATTATAGACATGTACACTAAAATAAACTGGAAAATGCGCTTAAAAAACTGTGAACATCAGTTTCGTATGTACAGCTGATACATAGGCAAATAGGGTAATAATTATCATCACACTAAAATAAAAAAAGAATCACAAGTGTTACAATTCAGATGCTGGGAAATGCTGGAATGAATGCTGTCTGTGTCATCTGAACTGCTTGCTGAAACATAAAAGCATTTGCCTGTGCAACATACTCTGCCTATATTTAATTTTACAAGTGAGATTGCAGTACAAAAGTATTTTGGTTTAGTTTCAGCAGTGAAATGTAAGCCTTGCAGGACAGCTAATTAACAACGAACCTACAATTCAAATTACTTCAAAGCTGGCAGCTTCTTTCTAGTTGTTTTCTTACTAAACATGGGTAGTTAACACTCGTTATTTCCTGTTAGATTCCTGTGCATTTATAAAGACATCTGCTAAGGCAGTAATATATATATTTTTTTAGTTAAGTCATCTTTTTCTTCTGAAGACTACTTCTAATGAGCTCACGGTATCTGTCAAACTAACTACTGTGTTAATCTTTTTTGTTTGTTAGTTTGGTATACAACATTTTAAACTTGATCTAAAGCAACTGGAGGTCATCAACAGAGACTTTTTCATTGACTTCTATAGCTTTCACACCTCCAGCTAAGGGATGGAAGAAGAGACTGAAATTCATACAGAATTTCAAATTCCAATCTTCAAGGTGGGCAAAAACGTTCCTCATATTGCTACTTAATTTCCCACTGCTCATTGACTAGGATAGTCACCCTACATGCAGTGGCTTAAATCTTTTGAGCGAAAGGGGAATTTCTGCGTGAGAAGTAATGGGGCAGACTTGTGAGTCTGGATGCTGAAAGGCTTTTGCTTGCTCTGTTCCCTATCATTTCTTCTCTCTTAAGCTCTAACCAACACCTGTGAGGAAATATGACCACCATCTATGTCAGCCATCCAGTGTCGAACATCATCTTCTAAAGATTCCTGAACCAAAGTTAACCTGGCCATGAGTTGAAGGATACACAGGAATTGTCTTACTATGAAACCAACAGTCTATTTAGCTGTCCTTTTACAGGAGAGTATGATTAGTGCATAAAATGTTAATCTGAAGCAAACAAGCAAAAAGCCCAGTGACACCTCCCACTAGTCCAGTGATGTCGCTTTAGGGAGAGCCAAGTTACAAGATGATAGAAAGGGTCCAGTACTCACCTTGGGAATAGCTAGTTTCTCTCCTTTCTCTGGACATTCCTCTGAGTCGGAGCAGGTGTAGTTCTCACTGAAGGACACCAGAGGGTTCACCCTTGGCTTGTGGATGGCTTGGAAGGTTAACTGCGTATTAAGCAGGTTGCTCACTGTTCTCAGTGAAGTACACACGTTGGGGGGCAGCGAAGGATCTGCCAGAAGGTCTGTGATGAGCCCGTGTGCTTCTCCCATGACAGCAATATCCACTGTGATACTGGTACCAGAAGACTAAAGAAGACAAAATTAATACATGTCAGACAATAGAAGTGAGTAACTTCCTGAACAGTATCTAAAGCTGTGATGAACTCCCCCCACAACTTTTGTTAAAGCAGTTACCCAGAGTGGAAAAATAGTAACATGAAATAATTCTTTAAATAAGGAGAATCATGCTGAATAGATTGATCATCAGGCATGATGCTCACAGCCCAAAAAGAGTTTGGAATTTCATCATATCTGATTTTCAGCTTTCACCACCTGCAGCTGACTTAACTCATTTGAATGAATTGTTCAGGCTCCCTACAGAGACATAGTCAATGGACAGGGGCAATTTGCACAAATAATTTTGGAGACATAGCTTATGATGGGAGGAGTCTCTCTCCAGAGATGCCTTTCTACTAACTACAGAGGCATCTAGAACAACTAATGCTCAATGCTTATGCTTAGATAAATTATATAAATCCCAAGCATATACTGAGATTTTTTAAGTATCTCCATGCTATTAAAACACAGCATACTGGTATGGTGGCAACAACATTATTCTCCAATGAATTGCATATTGTGCAGGTATACCAAAATTGAAAGGGAGTAAAAAGCGGATTTTCCAATCCTTACTTTATTCAGATGTAAGTGATGAGAATAGTTACTCTACAGACTTATATGACGAATTCAGATGGTCCTTATTTTCTCTTGGGTTTGGAATATATACCTACTTAACATATATCATTTAGGAAGAATTATTAACTAAAGTGATACATAAGCAGAAATAAGGAGCAGCTCGTATCACTGGCAAATCTTATATACCCTAGCCAGTATATGTATATAATTGATCTGTAAGCGACACACTGCAAAACAACTGTGTCTCAGACAAACTATCTTCATAGGTGTAGTCCATCCATCACACACACGGGTGATCTAACACAGCTGTAGCACTGGGCTTGCAGGGCATGCACAAGAGGATTGATCCATAAATGCATCTTTGAGTTTCTCCAGAACTTCCCGACATTCAGCAGCTCCAACTACCATCTGTTGTGAAACCCAGTAGGGCAATATATTGGCACTAAAAGTGACATCCTATTGCCAAAAGCAGGAAAATTGTCAAGTCTGTGAATCGACAGCTATATGATACAATTGCAAAAGACTCAGGAACTTTAAAATTTACTAGAAGAACAGTGAGACTGGATGCATGCAGAAGTAGAACAACTAGAAAGGCGGAGACATATGAACTTTTAAAGCAGCAGTGACATTTCAGCCTCACTAGCTGGTGCGCTAGAAATCACCATAAATTCTGCATGGAATCACTAATTCAAGGCACTCCAAGAGAGACTGTTTATCCTTTGCTGTGTTTCTTGCACGAGCTCAATCCTATTGCTACTGTTTGGGACTTTTCAGTAGGTGTATGTGCAGTTTGCCAAAGAGACCATTCCAGGAGATTTTGTGTTAATTTATTTTCAGGTATTTCTTAGAGAAATCTAAGATACACAGTTTTCCAAATGGGGATGTTATGTCTGTGAAAAGAGCATATGGATTTCTTGGGGTGGCACTTACATAGCATGGAGAATTGGGCAGACTGCTTAGCAGGAGAATGCTGAGAGCCCCAGCCAGGAGTGACTCATCAATGACAGCATTTACAGACCTTACAACATATCAAAGAGCAGCATAACAGAGCTTGACACTGCTTCATTCCCAGAAAAGGCTTTACAGGCAATAGTGAAGTATTTCTACGGAAAGTGATGTAATAGCTAAGTACAGATAAACTTCTCCCCACTATCTTCCCAGTTGTGTAGTGTGGACACCAGGCCCTTGGCAATAGCTGTTTCACTCCACTGATCCACTCCTCGTGTCCTACTTCTTGCTAACACAGTGGTAAGCCGCCGGGCCAGAAGACAGGCCTCCTCACTCACCATCCTCTCACGCAACCATAAAACCAGCCTCTTCTTCCCACGTCTTTTCTTTTTTATGATACGAAATAAAATAAACCAGAAACTGTTTGATATACTGAAGTGCTATTTCATCCTACTGAAAAAAATCAATGTCTGAAGTTAATTTAATGGCTCTTTCATTTCTTAACCTCTCAGGAGTGCATGCAGAAGATTATGGCAGATGCTAAAGAAAATTCTTAATTTAAAAGACAAGGCTTTGGATGGGAGGAATTAATTATCTATCTTAACCTCAGCCCTGAAAAACAGATCAAAGGGGAGTGAGGGAGAATACATCATTCAAAGTGCAATAGAAGCCTCATATTTTCAGCAAAACTACATAATCTACAGTTTGAAATTCTATTAAGTCTGGAGCCTGGAGTTGTTGACTGTCATTCAGAGACAGAGATTCTTCAATACTTCAATGAAGTAAACAAGTCTGACTCAGCTGGCCATAAGCAGAGGCCCAGATTTCGTACAGCAGTACTAATATTTTGCAAAACAGCCAGCATTGTTCTCTATGATTAGTACCAAGCGGGGAGAGGGAAAGCCCTCCTCTCCAATGGTGAGTTTCTGCCACATGGCCTCTGACATGTGGGGAGGGCTTGTCACGTCCTGGTGAGCCCTGCCTTGACTCTGGGACCCAGCAGAGTCGTCCAACAAATGTCAGGCTATGTCGAGTTGTGCTAGGAGCTGGTATCGAGGCCATATGGCCCAGGAAGAGGGACGCCGCACATCAGGTCTGCATCCTCTCTCCTGAGCTGTGCCTGCACCTCGCCATGAAGGACAGTCTGCACTCAAATCGAGTTAGGTACTTATGCAACACACATTAACACTGCCGCAGCCCATGCCCCACCAGAACAAATCAGTGGAAACAAAGCAATTCTCCCCTGCAACTGGAAAAGGCTTCCGAGCTTGACAATAGCACATACGATACCACCTCACCTCATTTTTGACGTGCAGATCAGACGTTTTCACCTGACACCTCACATGAAACCCATGCAGCCATCCACCCTGCCCGCGTGGAGCACGCCCAGAGGGGTCAGCTCCACACCTGTAACAAGGTGCACGCCGAGTGCCCCTCACCAGGGCCGAAATGAGGTGCATATCCTTCCAGCACAGCCCAGCCAGGGCCACCATAAGACATCAACAGCCACCAATTTTTGCAACATGACACACTGCATTGTGCAATACTTCAAATTGAAAACACTTTACACAGTATTTCAAAGACATCGCTGTATTGTAGCGAGCTGCTTTAAATGGCACATACATATGATAGTTACAGTATTGTCTAAAATACCCATAATGCTTAGAATCCTTAGAATGAGAGCATATGTAAAAGGAGAACAGACCAAGCTTAAATTCCTCTCAAAGAAAGAAGCAGAACAGGGTAAACACTGCTCTAATCCACTGATTTCAGTACACTAACGCCACATCCTGAATTGGTATGGTTTATATATTGTAATTTAATTGCACAGAACTTGTATACAGGAAAACTTTTTCTTTTTTGAGCATTTTGAGTATTTAATCCATCTCACAATGAATTTAGAGTACTGACTAGTCTGACTAGATGAAATTACAGCTATTCAAATTATTACTTTCTAAAAAGAGCTACAAATTGAATGCATGAATACAGTTAAAAATATTTTATTTTTTAGATTCTCTACTACAATCTACAGTAGAGAACTGTGTATGCTTTGCAAACCATTACTCAAAGTAAAATAAAAAGTGTTTCTCTGAAGGACAAGGAAACCTGGAATTTTTAAAAAATACATATGATGATGTGAAACAGCATAAAGACTTATGCAAGACAGAAAATTGCTGAAAATTTTAGATTGATGCAATTGTATATATGCATATACACATATGTGCATGCATATATACATGCACAGTCTTTTTTCAGGATAAAAGTGCATACAAAATCCATGCTCAGATTTTGTTTTCTACTAAAGTGCATAGCCTTTGCATGAACTGATCTAGATTCTTTCCAAACTACTTTACTCATCGAAACTCAAAACGCTGGATACTCGGGAATAGAGGCATGAATAACATGTTTGCAATCAACACTAACAAACAACTAACATAATAGACCAAATCAAAACAAAAAAAAATCCGAGGACCTAAGATAAGGTGAATTAAGTTTCACACTGGTCAGTATTAATTTACCAATCTATGCTCATAATCATGAATGCAGTTTCCTCCCATGAATTTTGGAGAAGACTGGCTCACTGTTCACTTTGTGACTTCATTCCAACTCCGATTTAAGCTATGTCATGCAGTGACTAAAACTGAAATGCTCTGGGGCATGAGAATGAGAAAGCAAACAGGCTGGAAACAAAAGCAAAACCAGATCAACTAAGCATGTTCATTGAGAAATAAGGTAAGGAGCAAAATAAATTCCTTACAGTGCTGAAAATCAGCTGGTTTTGTGCTTTCTTCCCCTCACCCCCCTCCTTTTTTTAAACTAGCATCCAGGTGAGTGTTTTAGTCTGTGGTACCACTTGGAATTCCTAACTGCACCCAAATGCACTTGCTGTATGTTTTGGGGCTTCTTTTAATGTACAGAAATAAAAGAAAGGATTTTCCCCTAAAGAACTCAAACGAAAAATAAGATGGCCAGATCACAATAGGATGCATTAGAGACTGACATACATAGTTCACAACACCTACTGTGCAATCACCTAATTTTGCATGGGTCGGGGCTTACTGGGAATCTGCAAGAAAACTTTCACATACCAAGAAGCGCACATGCTGCTGCAACAGCAGGATTGAATCACAAGTAGCATGTCCCACTGTCCTACAGACAATTTTTGCCACTGCAGGAAACTTATCTTCAAGGAACTCTCTTAAATGCAATATGAAAATAATATCCTGGTAAACTTTAATGATCACTTTGAATTTTTAGGTTTGAATAGTTCATTTTGGATTCTGTAACATGGCTAGAAAAAAAGTTGCGTAACGTTCCGTAGGCTTTTATATTACATTTCACAAAATCCCATCTGTTTTCTTCGATTAAATTATATTATGCATAGAAATCTAAGAGTAACTTTTTACTCACTAGGGGAAAAAAGCAGATAAAACTGTGTAGGAAAA